TGTTCACTTGATTTGGCAAATTGGGCAGTAGTATTACATGTCATATATGTTGAAGAGTGAATGGGATTTATACAAACAGGAATTTTAGAAGCTTGGATAATATAAAGATTAAAGAATTTTTAAGGAGAGATGTGAAATCAAGGCAGGTTTTATGTTATCTGTTTAAAAGGATGGAAGAGGCTTGATTCTATATGGATGATTTAAAGAGGAAATTAGCAAAGAGGAAAAGATATAAGAACATTTGGTCTATGAGAGTAATGCCCAATGCACTTAAACAAGTATTTTGAAATCAGGACAAATAGCCAACCACATGGCAAGATTTTGTTATATATCACCATCCAAAGCAGTTGAAAAGTATGTTCTCTACATTGCAAAAAAAAAAAAAAAATGGGTATACTATTTATATTCAGAAATTCTCATGATGAAGTAGGTTAGTAGTTCTGCTTTCCTGCAGAATGAACAAGATTATCTATTATAAAGCAACACAACCAATGGAGAAGAAAGTCTCCCAAACTGTGCTAAAAAAATTACATGTTAACAATTTATTTAAATAGAAACATTCATACAGTATACAAGGTAAGTCCCTAGGATTTTCTGTCAATAATATTTTCTTGGCAAGAAAAAATCTGCAAATATGTAAATAAAAACCAAATTGCTTACTTTCATTAGTTATTTTAAGATTTAAGGAAAATAACATACCGCATCTCTTATAGAAGTGCTTGATTTCTTGAGTACGTACAATTCTTTTTTCTTTTGTTCAATGTAATATCTAATGTCTTCATTAAAAAAAAAAAAGTTTAAGATGAGTATTTTTAACTTTGGAATTAAACATAGCCATTTTCTTATAATTATACTAAATTTAGGTGAAAGAATTACCATTAAAGATATCATATCACTTGCTATCAGACTTTTCACTGTAAAATTAGGAACCAAGGGACAGAGGTACTTAGAGTACATAAATATGAAATAGAGGAAATTTGTATATAAAAGCCTTACCATCAATATGAAGAATTTTTACTCCCCATGATAAGGCATTTGATAATATACTACTTGAAGGAATAAAATCCTGTTTAAAAAAAAGAGAGAGAGATAGTTGGATTTTTTCCCAGAAAATTACTATTTTAAGAGTTAAAGTTTAAACACTGAATTTAAATGGCCACTAAGTACAGTACTCAGTACAGTTGCTCAGTACAGTTGCCTTATAATTAACAATAGCAGTTGGAGTTTCTAAAATCAACAGTGCTTAACATATCCCCATATTCTTAACAACTTGATGCACACTGGAAGTTTACAGTTAATAGTGTCAAATTATTTCATCACTTAAAAATACAGATATACCACAAGCTTTAAGTCTCCAGCATTATTTTAAAAGGCCACAAGATGGAGATGTTTCTTCATGAAAATTAGATTCCATCCTTCATAAAGGGATACATCCCAACATTTAGTTTTTCCTATTAAAAATGTAAAAAGGAAGATTTCAAGAACACCCTTGTTTTCCAGTTGAGTTTTTATTCATTCATTCATTCATTCATTCATTCATTCATTCATTCATATGGAACTGGGGTACAGGCCAGAGATGTGGAAGGTGACAGGATTCACCAGAGACAGAGTGGGGAGCAGAACAGGCAGATGGATGAACTATATTGCTGAGGGGAGCAGCAGGCAGGTCAGGAGAGGTCTGCCACGCCATGTGGATCTCCTCCGGGATAGGCGGGAATCGAACTCATGGCTTTAGCTTCTCAGTTCTGTGCTTTAACCCCGCTGTGCCACCAGGAAAGGCCTACAGTTGAATTTTTTTTTTTTTAAAGATTTTATTTTATTTGTGCATACAGAACTGGGATACAGGCCAGAGATGCGGAGGGTGAGAGAATTCACCAGAGACAGAGTGGAGTGCAGAGCAGGCAGTTCAACTAAATACACTGCTGAGGGGAGCAGCGGGCGGGTCAGGAGAGGTCTGCCACGCCATGTGGTCACCTCCGGGGCAGGCGGGAATCGAACTCATGAGGAAGCGGCTCTAGATTTTCAGTGCTGTGCTTTAACCCGCTGCGCCACCAGGGAGGGCCACAGTTGAGCTTTTAATGATAGAATATAAAATGCAATTTAAGTAGCTAAGTTTTTTCACTGATGTACTTATTTAAAAAGAAATTTATTAAAAATGCATGACAGAGGACCTCCCTGGTGGCGCAGCGGGTTAAAGCATAGCATTAAGAAGCTAAAAGCCACTTCCGCATGGGTTCGATTCTTGCCTGTCCCGGAGGTGACCACATGGCGTGGCAGACCTCTCCTGACCAGCCTGCTGCTCCCCTCAGCAGTGTAGTTCATCCTGTTCTGCTCTCCACTCTGTCTCTAGTGAGGCCTCTCACTGCCCCTCAACCTCTGGCCTGTACCCCAGTTCTGTATACACAAATAAATAAATCTTTAAAAAAAAAAAATACATGACAGAAACAACATCATATCCTATAACTATTACCTTAATAAATGAAAGTTCTTAAGTAAGACTGTATATATGTAGGACTATACCAAGAAAAATGGGACTTGCAGTAATGCAGGATGCTGCTTAAGTGGGACACATAACCTACTGTGACTGAGTATATTAATGTTCAAATAAAGCTCTTGTTTCTAAGAATTTCCTTTTTTACTTGCCATTAATATACACCAGCTTGAATTGGAAATGCAGAACACAATGGACCCACCCAGGTACTGAATCTTTCCATTAGCTGTAACACAACACTTTCAGAGAAAAGCACCACCTGGTTGGTATAGAGGCCCCAATATTTTAACTTGTGAGAAGCAAGAAAGTAATTTATCTATTATGTCCCTTTCCTTTTCATTTCCCTGTGTGGTCTTTACGTTACTAACAAAATTTCAGCCCAAATATCAATAGGATCTAACTAGGTTCACAAACACACCAAATTAAGAAAAAGTTGCAGTTGTGTGCTCAATTAAATATTTTAATGGAAAAAAATATTTTAAAGTTGTGCTGTCTAATATTAGTTGTAGTTACATGTGACTAGTATCAATTAAGATGTGCTCTAAGTATAAAATGCAGATCAGATTTCAAAGAAAAAAGCTAAATACCTCATTACTAATTTTTAAATACCAATTACATGCTGAAATGATAATATTTGGCAACTGTCAAATAATATTATTAAAATAAACTTTTTATTTTCAATTTTTTAATACAGTCTTAGAAATTTAAAATTTTCTATGTGTTTCACATCTGTTGCTTACATCAAACTACTATTAAACTATGCTAGCATTCAATTCAATACACAATACCCTGGTAGTTGTAAATGCTTACAGTGGTGTTGTGTGAAGGAAAAGCTTTCTATTCAGATAAGCATAAAAGACATTTCTGCTAAGTTATCCTTAGGGTCACAAACTCTGGGGAAGCTGCTTGCCAACCTCTGAACTGCAATTTCTCCATGCATAAATCTGAGCTCGTAAAATGGGATGTACTGAAGATTATGATATGTATTAGTTACATCATGGAATAGGTGTTTATTAAATGTCAGTATTCTCTTCCCTCTAACTTAAGCAATTCTGTATTTTAGCATTATGAAATAGAATTAAGTATGCAAAAATTACTTACAATTCTACTACTAATACTGTCAGATAACTATATTACTGTTTTGGGGTATATAACTTCATAATCATTTTTCTATGGTTATATTGATGTAGATCTAGCACTCTGAGAGAAAAAAAACAGCATTCATGTTATATAAACCAAATCAGTGGCATGATTTAAGTTACATAGCAATGCATTATAATTGTGCGATTTGAAATTCATTTATAGGGCCTCCCTGGTAGCGCAAGAGGTTAAGTTGAAGCACTATGAAGCTATTGGCAGCCAATATAGCATGATTTCAATCCCTGACCAGGAGGCTGACCCATATGGTACCACATACCTCTCCTGTCTCTCCTGCTACTCCTCTCAGTAGTGTTAATGCGGTCAATCTGCCTGTTCTGTTCCACTCTGTCTCTGGGGAATCCTCTCCCAGCCCCACACTGCTGGCCTATACCCCAGTTCTTTTATGCATAAATGAATAAACCTTTAATAATAAAATTTCATTTATAGAATTATTAGTGACAGAATGGCATTTCAATTTATATCATGGTTTATTTTACAAAGCTGGTTCCCTTTTGGCTGGCTTCTTAGGCATTTTGAAGATTTTGCGATCACTAAAGAAAAATTATGCTGAGCATCCTTGAAGTTAACTATTTACTTCCAGTTCAAATATTATTTCCTTGGTGATTATTTCTTAACAAAGATCACTCAACTTATAAAGAGATTTGATAACATACTGCCAGACTATCTACAAAGAATGTACTCATCAATCATGTATTAAAAATGTTCATTCCTAACATATGTTTCACCTTAAATTTCTTTCATGTTTTACACTTTACAGGTAAAAATCTGAGTATTTTTTTTTAGAATCTCATTGTTTAAGGTAAGTTTTTATAAATTTCTTAGTCATCTGTAGTTACAATTACCTCCCAAACTTCTACAAACTGCCACCACGACATCTGTTCATCTCCCACCATGTGCAGAATGTATACCCTGCACCCCCACCTATTAATATATCAAAGGAACCATCTGTTCTTATTCCTCCACTTGGGTACTAAATTTCACTTCTGGATTATTCTCATCAGTATCAAATAGTAATATTTCTCCCATTTTAAGCAAAACAAGAGATTAAAAAAAAACCCACAAAGTTTGGCCTAATTTCCTTGCTCTTTTTTTTTTCTTTTGTCCACTTCTTTATTTTCTAGTTGAGTTTTTAATGACAGAATATATACTGAATTTTTAAAGTTGATACTTACATGGTCCTTGATAGCTTTTTCAACTAATAATTTTCCTCTGCTCAAACAAACCTGTAAGAAGACCAAAGAACAATCAAACAAACAAAAAATTGTAACATAGGACCTCACTGGTTAAAAGATTTTCAAAATTTAACAGCTATTTTTATAAAATAGGTAAATTTTAATGTAATTATAAAGCTTAAAAGGTAAATTTTATTTGCACAAGTCTCATTTTCTATCAACACAACATGATTTCTTTAGGATTTTCTTTATAATAGTATCTATGTTAAAGTGTGTTTCTTCTTTTTCAGAGCAACTAAATGGAATAAGACTCAAGGTTAGTTTTCTATTTCCTTCAATATGAAAAATAAGTTAGGTTCCTGAGAATATGACTGTAATTAAATAGTAAGTTTACATTTTAATTTTTCATTAAACTGAAGATTTAACAATGTGATTCAAATTTTATATATTATTTTTACAAGGTATTTCATTTTTAATATACTATGAAAACTAGTTGAAATGCTGAGAAAATGTTACTAGTACATAATCTCCTTGCTCCAAATAAAACATTAACAGGTCTCTTTTCCTTTGACTGTTTTCCTTTATGTATTGATGATCCAAGTGATATCTCTTACATAAATCATTTTATCTTACCTATTTCTCTTTCATTTTTCCTGTTTCCCAAATTGATATGATACACTAAGCTGAAGATAATAAAAACCAGTATCTATTAAATTCCATCTCTTCCTACTCAATTAAATTCAGTTCAATTTTTTTCTCCACTGATTCTTTCAATAACAATAAGATGTAGTGATGTGAAACAATTATAGAACAGGGGCTGGCAAAACTTTTCTATAAAAGGCCAGACAGTGCACATTTTATGCTGTGCAGGTCAGACAGACTATTTTAACTGTTCAGTTCTGTCCTTTTCAGCATGAAAGCAACCAATCAATACATAACTGTCTGTGATATGGCCCATGAACTGAAACAAACAAAACATTTATATTTCTTCTTTAAATGGATGATCTGCTGTTACTTTCAGTTGTGCATTATTCTAAAAAAGCCACCCTAAAATGCAATACTCTCTTAGGAATTAGAGTATGACTATACATGTACTATTAAGAGGAAACCAAAATCACCTTTTTATAAGGCAGCAATCTTTTTAATGATTTGAAAGCTACACCTACTGTAGACTGTCCTAACTAAATGAATTTTACTACCAGCCTGCTCTTGAAAATCAGGAGCTCCTTGTACTATAGTCTTTCTGATGGTCTCAATGCATATTTAAGACTTACTGAATCTGGAGGCTTAAATGAACTTCCATCATGGCTGGGATGAGGTGAAGTAGTTTCTGCAGTATATGCAGATTCTGGACTTGGTATAGGAGAAATTCGTCCCAAGGTTTGTGCAAATTTAGCTTCCTTTTTATTTGAAATAAGATAACTGATATCTTTACTGAGAAATTCTTCAACTCGCTGGAGAAAAACAAAGTATTTTACAGCAAGTCAAACAAACCATAAACCTGTTTCATACGGATAAACACAATGTAAAAATGCCAATCTGATACATTTTAACATTTTGTAAATTGATATTTTTATACTATATTCTGTTGAAGTACAATGGGAGTTCCAATAACAATATAACAACAGCATGCACTAGATATTATTTTTAAGTACTCTATGTATTTAATCCTAACAATAATCCCATGATATGAGAATTATTTTATACAGAAAAAATAATGTAAGAGAAGGTAAGTGATATGTTTGAGGTTATATAAGTAGTAATGAACAAAATTTGAACATGGGATATCCTGAGTTCCATGCCCTAAAATAGTACTATTCAATAAAATTCACTGCAATGATGGAAATATTCCTTATTATTTCCTAATGAAATGCTAGCAAGTTGCCCTTATGTGGCTACTGAACACTGGAAATATAACTGAGCAACTGAATTTTAATTTACTTAGATGTAAATTGGGATGTGTAGCCAACTGACTACCATATTGGAAAGCATAGCTCAGAATTACAGTTTTAACATCTTTTTGTAAGATTTAGTTATGGGATAGAGGGCACCTGTACTCTTAAATATAGGAGGTCTGAAGAGAATTCTCCACTAAATATTTGAAAAACTCTGGTTAAATACCTGAATTTATAAACACAAAGATCTCTCCATTCCATTTTACTCGCCACACAGCAGTACACAAGGGTCACATTTTTCCCATATCCTTACTAACATTTCTTAATTTGGCTTTTGATAGTAGTCATCCTAATGAATGTGAGGTGGTATATCACTTTAATTTTGGTCTGTATTTCCATAATGATTAGTGATGTTGAACATCTATTTCTGTATTTATTGGCTAATGTATATCATCTCTGGAGAAATGTCTGTTCAGACCTTTGTTTATTTCTTTTTTTTTTTAAGATTTATTTATTTATTCATATAGAGCTGGGGTACAGGGTGAGAGGCTTCACCAGAGACAGAGTGGGGAGCAGAACAGGCAGATTGACCAAGTACATTGCTAAGGGGAGCAGCGGGCGGGTCAGGAGAGGTCTGCCACGCCATGTGGTCACCTCCGGGGCAGGCGGGAATCGAACTCATGTGGAAGTGGCTTTAGCTTCTCTGCGCTGTGCTTTTAACCCGCTGCGCCACCAGGGAGGGCCTGAGTTATAACTTTTTATCAGTGCATAAAACATCCTTTATGGATGTTTTATATATAGAATCCTGATTCCAATATGATTTTTTTTTTTTTGGCCATTTCCCTCACCTAAATCCTAAACTGAGTCATATTATATTAATTAAAGTTGCTCAAATAATCCAGACACATATTTTAAATATTCTCTTTCATCTAATTCGTATGCCTATTCTGTCTTACATATTCTTATGAGGCTTTCAAGATTCAGCTCAAAGTTTATCTCTGCTGTGATTATCAAATGCAGATTTAATAGTCCCAACACTATAAAGAATTTCATAAAAGCACCGAAATACTATACTCCAAGTTATTCACTTACGTAGTCTGATATTCCCATAAATTGAGAATTGCTAGAGGATAAATTACATCTTATTTTTTCATCCCCAGCATCTGCAGTAGTGCTGCTGGAATAATTTCTAAATGAATTTCCATATGACCAAAAATGATCTTCAAGTTAAATTCAAATTGTGTCTGTATAACAGTCTCCCATATTCCTCAGGTGTAAATAATCTCTACATCCTTTTGACATTCTATGCAGTTTATTACAATTAATTGTATCTATGCAATCTCTGTGTAGTTTCAAAGTGAGTACAGGATGGGTATCAGTTTCAGTTTTTAATATACTAACACAATACTATTACCTTTTGACTTAATTTTACCATGGAATTCAATTTATTGGTTAGTGTTGAATCTATTTTTTTAAGGACTTATCTCAAAACTTATTTTCTATCATTCAAGATCACAATGAACATCAAACATTTAACTGTCCTCATATTTATGATAGCACAAAGTATTTGTCCCTTATATCTCTATTTTATCCAATTGGCTTATTTTAAAATAAATATGGACCCAAAATGGCAGGCCCATGTCACTATTTAGATAGTTTAAAACAGCTATTTTCCTTGTCATGATTAAAGCTATTTCCCCATATGTCAGACTTTACTGCTATGCTCTGTCAGTAGTTGAATTTTCAAAATTATACTCTCCAGATAATTGGGTTTATGATAAATACCAGAAAAAATAAATGCATAAAGTGGTCAACTGAAGAAAAAAAAAATTAATATATTTAACCCTTTAATAGAGTTTCTATTAAACTAAATATTTCTTAAAGTTGAATTATAGAACACTTAAATTATTGTCTAAAGTTCAAACTTTCTTTGTGTAGTTCATATAGGAGATCTTCATAACTCATTCTTAGGGCCTTCCTGGTGGCTCAAGGGTTAAGTTGTAACACTCTGAAGCTATTAGCAGCCTCTACCTGGCCAGGAAGCCATCCACTTGGTGCAGCAGACCTCCCCTATCTCAACTGCTGCCTCCTTCAGCAGTGTATTTCAGTAAATCTGCCTGTTCTGCTCCCCATGTGTCTGATGAATCCTCTCACTACCCTCTCCTGCCCCACCTCTGGCTTGTACCCCAGTTCTTGTAAGCATAAATAAATAAATCGAAAAAAAAAAAAAGATCTCTTGACTATTGTCATATATTGATTCAAAATTTGATTTATGCAAGTGCCTCAAAAACTGCTAAGAGAAAAAGAGGAAAAACAAGCAGTCCCTGTACTATCTTTTATACTGGTATTTTAGGTCGAGCAGTTCCTTTTATAATGAGTCTTCACCAGCTGGACTTCTAAAATGATTTTATTTGAAGGTTTTTACTAAAAAAATACAATGTAGAATTACTGAAAAAATACAATGTAGAGTTAATGAATTAGATCAGAAGAGGCAGTGGGGTATTCAAAGAATTTGAGAAAGTTGCAAGACTATATCCAGATAGCTACTTTGTAGCCATTAATTGCTAGCGGTATAGAAGGGCAGGGGCAGATGCCTTTCAGTCTGGGAATTAGTTTAGAACTACTCTGACCAATCATTTAATTTACTTGGGCCTTTAAGCACTTCATTTCTAAAATGAACAGTCTTTATTTAATGTCTAAGGCCTTTAACCCTTTTCTTGGTAGTTAGCACATCACACTGGGGTGACAGGAAAAAAATAACCTTAGGAATGCAGTTGTTATGGTCATTATGATAAATGCAACTACTATTTAAAAATCTAGTTTAAGAAAGTGAACAACCAACAACAAAAAGCATAATAGCTTTTCTAAGAGAACTAACAATTTCAAAAAGTTATTTTATGTTTTACTGCAAGTTTCTATTTTAGAAGTGAAGTAATCTTTTTATATTATTCATATTATTGACCTTAACAGTCTAACTCAAAGTGCAGCAGCAACTTTTATTTTTTTATTTTTTTTTTTTAAAGATTTATTTATTTGTGCATACAGAACTGGGGTACAGGCCAGAGGCACAGGGGCGGTGAGAGGCTTCATCAGAGACAGAGTGGGGAGCAGAACAGGCAGATCCATGAAGTACACTGCTGAGGGGAGCAGCGGGCGGGTCAGGAGAGGTCTGCCACGCCATGTGGTCACCTCCGGGGCAGGCGGGAATCGAACTCATGTGGAAGCGGCTTTAGCTTTTCAGTGTTGTGCTTTAACCCGCTGCGCCACCAGGGAGGGCCCGCAGCAGCAACTTTTTAAGAAGAAAATTAAAAAAACAAAAATCTAAACTCACTTGTTACAATTTAACCAATATTTATATTAATGCTAAGAAAATCTTATGATTTTAACTAAACTTTCTAAATTCCTCATCTTCTACTAGATATGTAAGGTAGGAAAGATTTTCCATATTCTTAATCCAAAATTCTGTTATCTTAATAACATTTATTTTCCTGAGACTACAGTATAAGAGCAATTTCTTTTTAAATCAAAAGCAATTTTAACTCTGTGGTTTGAACAGTTCTTTCTTGTTTTGTAAATAAGATTCTTAATTTCATGCTAACCCAATTTTATGTAGTTCCTCCAACATTCATAAAGAGTTTCTACTACTTGGACAGTATCCCAAATTCCAATGAGGAGGCACTACCAGCTCAACCATGATAATGTACTCTCTCTCATTTTTCATACTTTGTAAACTTCACACTAGGCTCCTAATCATAGAAACCTGAAAAATTTGTTAGGTAACAAAAGATTAAAACAAATAACTTTTCACTGATGACAAGCAGCTAATAAAAATTTTAAGTTTGGGCCCTCCCTGGTGGCACAGCAGGTTAAAGCACAGCACTAAGAAGCTAAAGCCACTTCAGAATGAGTTCAATCCCTGCCCCAAGTGATCCACATGGCTCAGCAGACCTCTCCTGACCCGCCACTGCTCCCCTTATCAATGTACTTGGTCAGCTGGCTTGTTCTGCTGCCCACTGTCTCTAGTGAATCCTCTCACTGCCCCTGTACCTCTGGTCTGTATCCCAGTTCTGTATGTACAAATAAATCTTAAAAAAATTTAGGTTTGATCCTTACATAATAAGTTTGCCGATATAAAATGCTAAATGATTACATTTAACATTAGAAATGTTAAGTGATTAAATATGTAACTTTATACTATTTACAATACTTTACTAATTTGTAAAAGTGCATGATTTTAACTTACCCCTCCCAGATCTTTAATATCCTTTTGCAATTTTTCAGATATGGTTACAGATGGTAAGTCAATGTAAAATACTTTCCCCCAAAGTGGCTTATATTTGGATTTTTCTGGCTTGTTGTCAGTTTTCACAGTTTTCAAAGATGGTCTATTTTTTTCATTTTTGACTTGGATTCGACCTGTTGTAAAAAAAAGTTGAAAATTAGGCCACGTTATATTCAGATAGGCATTCTTACTGTTTTAAAAATATCTCTTTATAAAAAATTGCATAGAAAACCTATGCTATTTATAATTTCAACAATCTAAGTCATTAGCATTTAAATGTATTTCTTCATAATAACACTAAAGACAAAAAACCTTGTAAAGTGATATCACATTGTAAGTAATTATGTTCACAGTTGACAGCTCAAGGAGCTGGAAATGTCTTATATATTAAAGCAGGGAATGAAAACCTTTCTGAAAGATTTTCCGCCTTAGGGTGTTAACTCAAGGAGTTTTTACTCAACAAGTGGTTATCTGGTCATTTCATTTGCTGAACATTCAATACTGGCAATTGAAATGTTAAATACTTAGCAATACAAGAAACCTGTTACCTAGAATGACCCTGCCCCTCAGATTGCTTTAGTTCCAGTTTGCCCATATATTTAGAACTAGACCATTTGCACCCCATCCCCCATCCCCTAGCTGCTTTAATGTGAGTTCTATCAGAGTTCGATCCCCAATCTGGAGGTGACCCATACGGCACAGCAGAACTCTCCTGACCTGCCGATGCTTCCCTCAGCAGTGTCACACCTGGTAGATCTGGCTGTTCTGCTCCCCCACTCTGTCTCACTGCCCCTGCACCTCTAGCCTGTACCTCATTTCTGAATGTCTAAATAAATAAATCTTAAAAAAGGAAAGAAAGCTAAAAAGAAAGAAAAGAACCAGACCATTTGCAGAACAAAGTCAACACTCACTTTATTATATTTCTGAAAACAGATCAGAGGTAGAAATGTTCTTAAAATTAACTTAGAACACAACCTGTTTATAATTCAGCGATTACTACAAATGTAGTATACGTACCTAAGTACCTATTCCTGTTCTATTGAAAAGAAACACTCAGGCTGGAATGCTTTCCTTTAAGGTGCTTGAAAATGGAAATTTGCTTTTGTATCTGTCCAGATATTTGAAAATATTAATGGTGTGTTCGAAATACAGATAATTTACCTCAATTTTGAGTGACGGGAAATAGAGTCAAATGTAAGACCAAAGTCCCCCCACAATCGCCCAATCTAATCCCCAAGCGATGGCCACTCGCACCGAAACTTCTTAAAAGGGAATGAGCGTAGTAGCAGCGTCCATGAAAGCTCCGGACATGTTTCCTAGTTTTCCAATTAAGACACCGCGGGAATTTAGGCGAATGAACACCACAAGGAACGCGAGGGGCCGGAGCGGGCCCGGATCCCTTGTATTTCTGAGGTATCAGTAATGGAGCTTCCTTCCGGCCACAGAGAACGCACAAACCAGGAAAGAAAAGAAGCAGGCAGCGGGCGGAAAAACTAAAAATCAATAGTGGGACAGTGTCGAGAAGGAAGGATTGAAAGGACCGGAGGCGGAGGAGGGGCCTCGTACCCTGGAGATGTCCTTTGCTGTGGATCCTCATGGCTCCGGAGTTCATGGCAGCCGCCCGGCCCCTACATGCTGCTTGGGAGGGGATATCGCGCTGGGCGGCTCTTACAGGCCCCTTGACAGGCCGATCTCCTTTTCCCTTTCGGGGTTACGACGCCAAGGCAGTAGGGATGCCGCGTCTGCAGGCCAGGTTTCCGGGGCCCGCTCCGAGACTCCGAGGTGGAAGAGGCAAGCACAAACGAGTGGGCTGCGGCGGTTGAAGATTTGAAAACGCGTCACGCAGCCGCGGCGCCGATACGCGCGCCCCGCCCCTTGCGCCCCGCGCGCCGAGCCCCGCCTCGCGCTCGCCCACTAGGCACCCACCCCCCCCCCCCCGCCCCGCACGGCGCGCCCAGAGTCCCACGTGCCCGCCTCTCGCGCATTGCGTCCCTCTCCTCACGCCCCGCCTCCGCACGCCCGCGCCCTACCCCCGGGCCGCGTCCCCGCCCCTGGGCCACCTCGCTTCAGCGCTCTTGGCCTCGGATCGGTTGTCTCCGCCGCAGCTCCGCGTTCCTGCGCTGCCTGGGTCATTCGGTGTGGCTCTCTGTTGACCAAACGTAGTGGATGCAGTTTGCGCCGGAGGCCAGTCCAGCCCGCCACGAGGGTCAATCCCGCATTCCAGGGTTGCCCGGACCTCCTGCCCAGCAGCCGCCTCCTACTCCAGGTACCCTTTTGACCCACCAGTGGAAAGTCCGGGAGGCTGGAGTTGCGGCGGCTGCGGCAGGGCTTGGACTCAGCTTCCGCCCTAGCGAAGCTGGGAGAAGAGGCGGCAGCTTGTGCCCAGCGCGCAGCGAGTCGCGGAGCGTGGTTTTGTCTCTGTCACCGCCGACTCCGCAGCCCAGAGACAGACTGCGGAGGGACTTCCCGGGCTGAGAGGTGCGGGTGGGGTGTCGGAGCCAGGGTCCCGCGGAGCAGGGCCTAAGAGCGTTCTGGTCGCCTAGTGCCCTTTGATACTTGGCTGTCCGCTGTTGTGTTGACCTCTGGTGCACGGAGCTATTTTCGTTTCAGTGTGTTTACGTTTATTTCAACGATGATAAAGAGTAGAATTTGAAATCACAAATCTAGGATTTTGGGTCTACTCGGGTCGCTTACCAGCTTGTAAAAATGGTTAAATTACCCAATACCTTTGTCTCACTTTTTTTCATCTGTAAAATGGGAATAATAATGGGATTATAGTAAGGATTAAATTTAAGTATTTATTATTTTTGTAAATGGGAAAATGCTTCACAAAATTTGTTTTTCCTACTTTTCTACTGTAAACTTCTGAACTGCTTAAAGAAAAATGAAAGTAGATGGGCAACAAAAGAACTACATAAGAATGATGGCTTGAATTGGAAGGTTGAGTACATACACTCTTGCAAAATAATTTGTCAATGTCGGAAATGGCTAGGAAGGGATAACTGGGTCTTTGAAATATTCTGGGAATACCGAAAACAATTTAAATGTGTTTCTTCTACTGAGAACAAAAAAGGAAGCCCTTTTTATGTTCTAGTGAACAATGAGTTACCTTTCTTATTTATTATAAAGAATTAAGATCAGTAACATAGTTGCCAACTGTCTGGGTAACCCATCCTTGACAGCACTGTCGGTGGTAGTGCCAATAACGAATAAGTAAGTCTTAATAGTGTTAGTAATCAGGACTTTTGGTAAGAGAATAAATTTTATGTTAAAGTACATTTTAAAGTGCCTCAGGTAAAAAGTATATATTGAAGAAGAAATTAAATGGGCTCAGGGTTTTTAGTGGTGAGAAGTTTGGTTAAAGAGTTCCAAGCAAAGCTTGGAGAACATTAAGCAGAATCATGGTCTAGATAAATGAACATTTCAGCTGTATATCAGGAGAAAAGAATTTCACTCAGTACTGGCTCTGTTCCTAAGTGGCTTTATGACCTTGGGTAAATGTTAATGGCCCTATGCAACAATTTCCTTATCTGTAAATGAGTAAATATCAAGTGAGACCCAATCTGTTTGTTTGTTTTGACTACCTCACACATATGCAAATACAAAATTTTAATTCTGGAATCAATGGATTTACTCATTCTTCTGAAATACTTAAACTTTCCTATTTTCTTACTCTGGCCTGAGTCTCTCTATATGGGACTATATTTGTTGCTTTTTCCTGTTAGCAAACCTAACAGCCTTTATCACCTACTTATTTGGGCTCTTCAGTAGTATTCCTGTTTAATCCATATGTATTTAGGCCATTGATATGCTTTCTTTCAAAATGTACTCTGTTGCTACTTCTGTTACTTAGTTTTCACATTTTGGAGTCTCACTACCTAGTTCAAGTTTGTTGGCGAGCTTAAGGTTTTTTTTTTTTTTTAAGATTTATTTATTTATGCAGACAGAGCTGGGGTACAGGCCAGAGGTGCAGGGTGAGAGAGAGGATTCACCAGAGAGAGTGGGGGGCAGGACAGGACGACTGATGAAGTACACTGCAAAGGGGAGCAGTGGACGCTCCAGGAAGAGGTCTGCCGAGCCATGTGGGTCACCTCCCAGGCAGGGATCCAACTCATGCCGAAGTGACTTTGACTTCTTAGTGCTGTGCTTTAACATGCTGCAGCACCAGGAAGAGCCTGAGCCTAAGGATTTAATGTGGTTATGTTCTAGTTTTGCAGGGTAAACATATGAAAGGATAGCAAGTTCATGGGCATAGACCTGAATGTATTATATCAGGTGAGAATGGACAGGACAGCTAAGGAGAATCCAGCACATCTATTGATAGTTCTTAAACAAGTGAAGGGACAAAAAATGGAGAATAAACAATGCAGTATGATTCAGAATTTGAAAGTGGATTTCTCCAGACAAAAATTGCAGAGGCTGCTGTGGCAGCTCTAGGAGCTGTCAAGGATAATGAACTGGTTTAAAGGTTATATTTTATATTCTGAACTAGATTGTAAGTTACTTTAGGGTTGTTCTGAACACATATTTGACCATGACTAAAACAGTTTACCCAGCTCACTTTTTTCCTCCAATTCTGACAGAACACTTAAAATGTTCTATTTCCAGTGAGACTAGTTTCCTTTAAAACCCTCTACAACTCGCATCATGTAAATTTTTAAGATTCCTAATCCTCTTGGTCATCCACATACAATAAAGTGCACCCATTTTAAGTATCCAGACCGATGAGTTCAACAAATTTATTTTGCATAATGGTATTTTTGATTAATCCATGCTGCTACACATAGCAGAAGTTATTTTTATTGCTGAGTAATATTCCATTTTCTGAATATACCATTTTATCCTTTTTACCTGTTGATGGACATTCGATTGTTTCTGGGTTTGAGCTACTATGACTAATGCTGTTAGGTCTTTTCCTAGAGATACATTTTTATCTTTCTTGGAATTGCTGGAGCCTAGGTTACTGAATATTAACTATTATGAAAAATGTAAGTTTTTATATATATATATTTTTAAAGATTTATTTACTTGTGCATACAGAACTGGGGTACAGGCCAGAGGCTCAGGGGCGGCAAGAGGCTTCACCAGAGACAGAGTGGGGAGCAGAACAGGCAGATCCATGAAGTACACTGCTGAGGGGAGCAGCGGGCAGGTCAGGAGAGGTCTGCCACGCCATGTGGTCACCTCCAGGGCAGGCAGGAATCGAACTCATGCGGAAGTGGCTTTAGTCTATTAGTGTGCTTTAACCCGCTGCGCCACCAGGGAGGGCCAAGTTTTTATATTTTAACTCCCTCTAGATCATAGTGCAAAAGAAACTCTTAACAATGTGAAGAGGCAATCTATGACATGGGAGAGAGAGTATTTAGAAGCCAACTATCTGAAAGGAATTAATAATCTAAAAATATAAAGAACTTATACAACTCAATAGCAAAGAAGCAAATAAACTGATTTTAAAATTAGTATAAATCTTAGACAGTTTTTTTCCAGAGAAAATGTGCAAAAAGTTAACAGGAATATGAGGTTCTGAGCATCACTAATCATCCAACAAATGAAATAAAGATCATCACCTCACACCTGTTATAATGGCCAGTAATTAAAAATAAAATGGAAAATTCATTAGCAACTATGTGGAGAAATTGGAACCCTGTGCATTATTGGTTGTTACATAAAATTGTACAACTGCCATGGAAGGATGTTGAAGAGATATAGGTGCACTCCTGTGTTATTACAGCATTATGATAATTAACAAGGTGGAAATAATCCTAATATTCATTGACAAATAATGAAAACTATATATATATATATATATATATATATATATATATATATATCTGCTAGAGTATCATGTAATCTAGGAAGGAAATCCTGTCATATGCATAATATGGATTGAAAACCTTATGCTGGATGAAATAAGCCAGTTACAGAATGAGAAATACTTTACATATGAAGTATATAAAATAATCACACTCTTAAAAGGAGAAAATTTAATGGTGGTTTCCGGTGGCTGAGGAAAGGGAATTAGGAAATTGCTATTTAATGGGTAAGAGTTCAGTTGCATAATATGAGAAAGTTCTTAGGATCTTCTGTAAAAAGACAGGTATCTAGTTAACAGTGTGTTCCTTACACACACTTTTTAAAAGTATATTTTTATTCTATTTCTGTTACTGCAAAGCATTTTTAAGAATTTTGATTTATATGCTACTCTGAAGAAAGTAGGACATATTATAGATTGGGAGAAGATACAATTTATATAACATAAATAATTTGTATCAAATATAAAAGTTTCATCAAATGAGAAAAATATAAATACCTCACCAGAAAAATGAGTGAAAGATGTAAATGGAATATTACAGAAGAGCAATACATACTGCTAATAAATATCTGAAGAGATAGTCAACAGTGTGGAGCATGTTGCTATAAATAAAGATTAAGTTAAGGGAGCCTTTGACACATCTTTACTTGGAAAAATCAGAAATTCTGATGATTCTAGGCATGTATCGATCTATCATCTTCTAATTTCAGTATTTCTATGACTATTTTACTAAAGCTTCTCCAAGTACCACTTGATTGATTTGATGTCATTAAGTAATTTGTGCTTACGTCAGGAAGGAGTCATGGATTCTTCATGCTTGAAAATGTGTCATTATATGTGGTAACCACTTAGGTGAGGTATGGCCAGTCTATACCTAATTTAAGTAAAATACTAATTTAAGTAAAATAAAGAATAAAGAAAAAGTATGGAAAAGATAATTTCATAGGAAGTTGAAGGAGAAAGCTGTTTTGAAGCATGTAGCATAATGAGATGGCCTAAAGCTATAGTTGAACCAAAAGGTTATGAAAGCATCTCGCTCCACTAATTTCATGTGCTCCCAGAAAAAGGAACAGTATATTCCAAATAAAAGAGTAGAAAGAGGCAGAGAAAGAAGTTAAGTAGGTTGATAGGACTATAGCTATTTAAAATATTGGAGAATACACTGAATTCTGCTAGGATTATTACTGTTCACCATCTGCTTCCAAATTTGTGGCTATATTGTCCATTTTTTTCTATATTATTCTTTAGATAACTGAATAGAAGACTCATTTTCAGATTTCATTGTACGTAGATACATGTCCAGATCTCATTGTAATGAGATATGTGTTGGTTGTTGATATAACTTTTCTAATAAATACTTTTTAATAGTATTTATGTTAAGAAATAATAAAAAGTGCAGTAACTTTAATTCATGGTTCTAAACAGTATATCCAAATTTCTGGATTTCACTGTTATGTTTAAAATAATTGTTAGAGATACATCAGTTTTTCAGTTCAGATTAATATATCCAGTTCCAACATTGGGATAGGTATCAAAATAAAGCATATGTGTGTGCATGCATGCATGTACATGTATGCATGCACACACATGTATTTTTTTTTACTGGAACTGTGTTTATACAAATGAATTTTAGAAGTGTATTCTTAGAGTTGAAGATTCTATGTGAATATTAAAGGTTTTTACTATGCTGTTTCCCATATACAGAAAAATACAGAGCATTTAAATGTTTTGTATGTGGGAGGCATCTGTTTACCTCCACCTAAGTATATGGTATACTTATCACCTAGATTTGACAAATTTTAAGCAGTTTATTTTTCTGAAGTATTGAAACTACAGTTATTAACATACATAACTACACTACCATTATCTCACCAAACAAAATAATTTAAAAAAATTATTTATGCATTCAAAAACTGGAGTATAGGCCAGAGTTGCGGGGGGAGAGGGAGAGGATTCACTAAAGACAAAGTGGAGGGCAAAACAAGTGAATTGACTGAAAAATACTGCAGAGGGTAGGACAGGAGAGGTCTGCCACACCATGTGCATTGCCTCCTTGGTTGTGATTGAACTCGTGGTGCAGTGTTGCACGCCAACCCCTTGTGCTGCAGGGAGGGCCCCAAAATAAATATTTTAAAATATTTCCTTATCTAGTGCATATTCAGATTCCTTTAGTTACCCTCAAACTTTGTTTTTCATTTACTTGAAGTAAGATGTATTTAGATGTATAAGATTTCTTTACTCTAGAAGTGTTGTTGTCCCTTTGTCTCCTTTTTCCCCCCACTACTGAGACTAATTGAAGAAACCAATAGTCCTCTATAGACTAGAGTATTATATGTGGTCCTCTTTTGTGACATCCTTTATCATAAAGATACCTGAACTTTCCTGAACTTCCTTCCTTATCCTGAACTCTATAAATTGGAAGTTAGATCTCTAAAGGTTTGTTTAGATTCCAATTAAATATACCCCCCCACTCCCAAATACTTCAAGGTTGCACAGGATACTTAATTTTGTGTCACAGAATGTAGTTGTTCAATTCCCAATGATTGATCAGTGTGTTTAAGTCTAAACTTGTTAGTTTTCAAAGCAAAATACACTTAATGATATAATACAAATTTTGTAAAAGGCTTTAATAATTCTAATGATAGCATTTGAGGAGTGCTTGTTAAATTTATCAAAGCACTTAATATTCAATAAATGTTGATTTGTGTTTTAAAGTATTTTTTCACTTCTTATAGGTTTCTTATCCCTTTCCCATGAGAAAATATAAAATAAAACCATTACTTTCATTTTTTTACTATAGAATTTCAGCTACTGATGTTACAAACAACAAAATATTGGAACATAGAGTTGAGGAAAAGACTTAAACCAGGTAGGTAAATAATAAAAGTCTAAAGAAACAGTAGAACTACCGTTCTTTTTAAATTAAGATTGTTATTAGGCTAAGTTGACAATTGGGCTGTGAATTGTAAAGTAACATCAAAGTTGTTTCCTCAATTTGATAATTGTCCTATTGTTACAGGACAAAGACTATGAAAATTCTCTCTGAGTCAGAACTCCTGTTACTGCTTTTGGGTCCAAGAATTCTCTGCCAGATCTATAAACGAAAAAAGTTTTTTGGCACAGCAAAAGATGATAAGATAAAGCTGCTTGCAGCAGGCCTTTTTGGATGCTGTAGCCTGGGGCAAGGTGATAACAAGTGTTGCCACTGCTAGGGCTGTTGAGGTGCAACAGAGACAGATCTCACAAAAAAGGCCCAGGCAGAAGTAAGGTCCAGGGTCCAGGTGCCTTTCTTTTTATAAGGGCTCTAAAAATAATGCCTCCCTAGCAGAGTTCAGCCCATGCCGCTTCACTGGTGCAGTGTCTGGGCTTTAGTCCTGAGTTGGATTGTTCCTCCCCACATCCTGTGGTGAAAGTGGAGTGGATTGCACTTAGTCTGCATGGCAAATACGTGGGCCTCCCAGGGCCTGAGTCTAGGGGTTGAGGACTACTCCAACACTGTGATGATTGAGTAAGAATATTCTGAGGTTGACAAAATGTCTATAGTATTTTTTTTTAAAGATTTATTTATGCATACAGAACTGGGGTGCAAGCTAGAGGTGCCTGATGTCAAGTTGGCTACTGAATATGAGAACAGTATTAAGCTATTTTTGCTGTTCAAAAGAGGTGCATCCACGCAGATGTGTGAATGTACACATTTGATTAAGTAGATGTATTCTGATGTGTGTTTGTGAGGAGAGATATAGTAGTTTTATTGCTTTTTCAGACTGTTTACTTTTACATGTATACACACACATATAAGTGGGGTATATATAGACATATGGAAAGATGACTCCTGTATGTTGCTATTAGTTCTCAACAGTACATTTAGACCTGATTTTTATACCATTTTTATTAACAGACTTTCAGGAAAATATATTTTGCTTTTTTCATTAAAATTTTGTAAGATGATGCTTCTTATGAAAAATGTATTTTGAATTCTATTTTATATTTCTGTTTTGTTTTGCAGTTAAAATAGTGCTATATTTGCTGACACCTCTGTACTAACATAGAGAAAGCATTTGAGTAGTTTTTAGAATATGAACCTTGCCGTTTATTTGCTTTCATTCTGTTATATGGCCAGAGTCTGTTTTATTAACTCTGTATTACCATTTTTAAAAAATCAGAGAACATGTTCTATTACCTTTGTATAAACCCTTTGTGTACAGACCTTGATTTTCCAGAGTGTCAACAACACATATCCTTCATTATTATTACTCTTTTTATAGTTTATTCAATTTTTAATAACTAAATTTGAGGGTATTTTCCATTAAACTTTTGATACATTTTGCTTTTGTTAACAGATTTTTCTTCAATTAGTTAAGGTATGGATCCTGAAGCAGAGATACCACATATTACCAAAGTGACACCTCTCCAACAAATGTTCGCATCTTGTACTGGAGCTATATTGACATCATTAATGGGTAAAAATAAATAAATAAATAAATAAAATGTAATGATGTAGATTATATAACCAAGTAAATTGTTAGGATTTGAGTTTTACTGTTGTGAAATGATAATATCATCATCATACATCCTTCATGAATGATATCTCTCCATCAGTATGATAACATGAAAAGAATTCTGGGCACATAATCAAGAGTATTTAATTTTAGTTCTTGCTTAGCCATTCTTGGGTGCATGCACGTGGGGATAGTTGCTCCTTCTCTCTAAACTTCATTTCTCATCTGTAAACTTAAAAAGCTTAAACCTGAGTTCTTTGTGATCCCTATCAAGATTAACTTGCCTTCTAGTGATTTTAAATTGTTTGGTTTATTTAAATAAGAAAGCAGATGATTAGAACAAACATAAACTGATTTAATTAGGATATAATATCTTATTTCAGATGATATTGTTAGGTTGTTACAGATCATCTAATATATGTCATCATTCACAACAAGGAAGTATTTTTAGAATCACTATTAAGCATTCTTTTCAAACAAAATAAAGCATGCAAATTAAAATAATGTTTCTTTACTTTCATGCCTACAAATGGAATAACAAACTAGCTTTAAACATGATTTATGCCTGGTTTATTCAATTTTGTATTACCTAAAGATTTTCTTTGCTACAGATAAATATAACAGATTAGAGGATCGATTATTGATTACTTATAATACAGAGTTGTTCTTAAATATTTAAAAAGAATTCTAAACTAAAAATACTTTAGTTTTAATGCTAATGGGTTTTATTTGTAGAAATAATATAAAAGACAGTTTATTATTTGTGAGAAAAGTAACTAGGTTCTATTTTCAGTGGTCCTTTCAGTAAAATTCAAGGGTAAAAAGTGAAATGTTATATTCAAAACCATTTTATAGTTAGTAACTTTAACCATTATGTAATCATGAGGAAAGATATAATTCAATGTATTCTGTGTTGTTTGGACAAATGTTAATATATATTGGTATTACTAGTTAATTGAAATTTATTTTTCTTCATAGTGACACCCCTGGATGTTGTTAAAATTCGACTCCAAGCCCAAAACAATCCATTCCCCAAAGGTATGTTTACTCGTTACCCTGAAAAATGTCAGATTTTTAAATGTTACTACACTCATTTTGTTTGAGTAATGTTTTCTTTGTCAATTAAAAAATTGAACCTATTCATGAAGGTTCATTTTTCATCACATGATGAGGTCTAGGCAGAAAAAAAATATATATAGGTAACATTTTTAACCTTATACTATGTCAGAATATGATTTTATATTTGGATATATATCTTACAAGTAAGTACAGAATTATACTTGTAAAAAGCTCACAATTTAACTTCCTCTTTAGTCTAAGAACTGTAACCTTCCTAGGACATTCATCCAAGTATCCTTCAACTGTTTATTATTTGACTAGGCAGCTTAAGTATTTGCTGCATAGTGTAGTTATATGGAATTTGAAGAGATTATTTTATATCAGGTAGGCAAAAATGATAATGGTATTTCAAAATATGTTTAAATAACAGAAAATCAGTTGTTTATACTGTGAAGACATTGAGTCAGACATGAATGCCACTCTGTTGAAGGCATACCAGTGAGATGAAATGAACAACAGGCATATTCCAGATGAATGCAAAAATAGGTGAGAATAGATTAATTCTAGAAAGAGACTAAGAAGTAAGGTAGGTTCCACACATTTAAGAAAGCTTTAAAAGCATAAGGAGGTATTATAAAAGTCACAGAATTATATATGGGATAACAGAAAAGACAATTTGAATCCAATAATAGGAAAGGGTTGGTTCTAGATAGTTGTGAAATGGTGTGGAAGAATTGTGATTTATGTGGGAAAATGTCTAAACTAAGCAATATAGCTACAGAGAAACTGACAAAGTGTGGCATTATTTACACTGATTGAGAAGAACTTTGTTTATATTCTATTTTAATGAAATGTAATCATCATTTGTTTTAGGTATAGAACAGTGGTTCACTATATCTATCTATTGCAAAATGATTACCGCAATAAATTTAGTTAACATCATCACCTTGCATAGTTTACAATTCTTATTCTTTGTGATGAGAACTTTTAAGACTTAGAAAATTTCAGAAGTACATTAAACTTTCAGAAGTACATTAAATCCTAATATATTTTTGTCAGAATTTCCCTTGCATACACGTTTTCTTCTGATAGAAAAGGTACATTGCCTTCTCTTTTCAAAACAGATTTTCCTCCTTTATCTTCCCCTTCTATTCATTGAAACCTAAAAGAATTTAGTCTATATTTATTTTCTTACTACATTTCTGAAAAAAAAAAAATCCATTAATTTACTCAATTACTTTTCACCATCATGAGATTAGATAGAGCCCAGCATTAATATCATTAGGCAAATGAAATTATTTTTATCTTAAGAGGTGAAGACAAAATTATCTACTCAAAATGCTTTAGTCCCCTCATCCATACTTTGTACGTTGGTAAAAATAACAGTCGTGTAAAGGAATTGTTAACCATTAGCATCTTCTTCTTATTAGGAAAATGTTTTGTATACAGTAATGGACTTATGGATCACCTATGTGTCTGTGAAGAAGGCAACAAAGCATGGTATAAGAAGCCAGGACGTTTCCAGGGAACATTGGTAAGAAAATGTAGTCTCAATTTTTGTTCATCTGAAATGCCTTTTTTTTTTTTTTTTTGAACAGTATTTTGGCAGCATATATAATTCTGGCTTCATTTTTCCCTGGATTCTTAAATGTATCATTACATTGTCTTCTGGCCTCCCATGTGTCCAGCCAGTCAGCCTTCTTTTGTATCATCCTCTGTTATGTATTTTGTCATTTTCTTTCATTGTTTTATTTTGCCTATAATTTTTTTGAGATTTTTCTGCTCTGTGAATTAATACCGTAAACTGTTTGGGGGAAGTTTTGACCATCATTTCATGAGATAATTTCCTTTTTCCTAGTCTTCTTTTTTCTATGACTCAAATAAACTTATGTTATGCCACTTGATATTTCCCTTCAGGTCTCTGAGCTTCTTTGCATTTTTCTTCATTCTTTTCCTCTTTCTTCTTAAGAATAAATAAAGTCTATCTACAGGTGTCAGTGACTTCTTCTGTTGTCTCCATTCTTTTAATCCCATTACTTTCATTTCAGGTATAGACTTTTTGCTTGGCTATTATTATGGTAGCTATTTCTTTGCTGAAATTCCAAAATTGTCCACTCACTATGCATATGTCATCTTTTAAGTCCTTGATCATCTTTATAATGGCTGTCTCCTATTTGTCTGCTAATTGCACCATTTGAATTACCTTAGTTTTGTTACCTATTGACTACTTTTTCTTTGAATCACAACATATTTCCTTTTTTTTTATGTCTAGTAAATTTTGATTGGATAGTAGATATTATGAATAGTACTTTATAAAGACGGAATTGTTTTATTTCATGAAAATTTAGTTTTTATTTTTGTGGGGATCGTTTTGTTTTCCTCCAGTATTTGAGACTAATATCCTCTGTAGCACCTCCTTTCCCAGATTTACAGCTTTAACATTCTGAATGTTCTACCACCTTGAACTCTTTATTTACCATTTCAAGCAAGTAAATGTGTTATCCTTTGCCATTCCCACAGGCAAACAAGCTACAAACGTGAAAATTTCACATTGGTTTTAACGGCAGACTTCCCTATGGTTTTTGCTGGCTTTTGGCTTCTCTCCAGAGATTTCAAATAGTGGCTTCAATAATATTTTTCCAGATTTTATTGTTGACAAGGAGAAATAATCTGATCAATTTCTGTGATTAAAGCCAAAAGATAGCAGTATTTGAAAAACTTGTTTTCTCAGTCCTAAGTAGGACAATCCAAATCTAAGTAATACAGATTTTATTCTGGTAGCAGAAAGTATCACCAGGAAATGTTTTACTTGTGTTTAGAAGTTGAGGAAAGTTGCTTTTTTTTTCTCTTCAAAGAATGAGCATACATATATCTGAGATATTCATTTCACAAATAAACACTTGAAAGGATAAAATTAATAATTAGCAGTATAAAATTTTTGTATACCCCAGTTTCAGGGATATAGTTTGACTACTGTCTTGTTTATGCTTTTAGGATGCCTTTTTGAAAATCATTCGAAATGAGGGCATTAAATCTCTATGGAGTGGCCTTCCCCCTACCTTGTAAGTTGATATTTAGTATTTTTCTTACTAAACTGATGATTATTATTTTGTTATTGGGAAGACTCATAGGGCTTTAAAAAGGTTATACTTATCTCTGTGGTTTTTGTAGAACAAAAATATACAACACAGAATTAATAAGGTAAAAAGATATAACAATAGTTGACCAGGCTTAGACTTCTATCCAAACCCCCCACCCCTTATAACATCACACTTACTTTTCTAGCATTGAACTATGGTGGCACATGTAAAGTACTTCTACCTTAAAACTCACTTAAATTTCAGTGTCTAAGGTTTTTTTTTTGTCTTGATGATGTAGGCACATTGTGTCTTCATAATAACAGTGATTACTATACCACCAGGTCCCCAAAAGGTCAGCAGATGTTTTGAAAAATTACATAACTTGTACATGTCAACCTAGACAAGTTGACTTAATTTTCCACTTATTCAAAAAAAAATCTCGTTTTATGAAGCTTTTCAAGGGTTAAATTTAAGTTGGCCAAAGGTCAAGCATGTATATAGACTGCCCTGAAGTTACAAAAGATTTGAGCAACTATACCTTTTGTTAAGTCTCCAAGTGCAGAAGTATACTTTTTTTTTCATGTTTAGAAATTAGGAATTTGGTATTCATTTGAATTTTTATTAATTTTACAAAAGTATTGAGAGATAATATGATATATATTCTTTCAACTTTTCAGATAATTTTAATATTCTACTAACTGTTGTATAAATTAATCTGATCAACTGGAAAGGCTTAGTGTAATACTCTCAACTAACACTTTGCCTTTCTCTGGCTTCTTTCTTTCTATCTTTTTATGGAGAAAATTAGGCAACTTTGAGGCAAATATTTTAAACAGTGGCCTCAAGTTATACTGTAAGTGGCAAATCCAAAAGCAGCAGCTGGTTCTATTCCTAAATTCTTATGATCAGAATTCACTATAGAACATTAGACATTTCAAAATGTGTTATGTGAATATCCTTTAGATAAATCGTAAATATAGATGAATTTCCTGTTGCAGTAACATTTATAACATGACTGTACTGCAATTTTGTGATTTAGTTAATCCCCTTTTGATATTTTCATTTGAAAGACTGTCATTAGAATTATCTCAAACCTGTATATATTATTCTGTCACAATTAATTGCAATTTATTTTCAGTTATAAGTAGAGCAATATAGCTCCTTAGTTCAAAAAATATTTTACAGTCACTCTTGTACTTTTTACATCAATGATTTTCATGTTACAGTAAATTATTATTTTTTAAAGATTTATTTATATGTGCTTACAGAACTGGAATACAGGCTAGAGGTGTGGTGTTGAGAGGATTCACCAGAGAGAGTGGGGAGCAGAACAGGCAGATTGACAAAGTACACTGCTGAGGGGAGAGCAGGCATGTCAGAAGAGGTCTGCCACACCATGTGGATCATGTGCTCCCTGGCCTAGGATCAAACATGCTGTAGTGGCTTCAGAGAGCTTCATAATGTGGTACTTTAACCCTTTGTGCCACCAAGGAGAGCCCTACCATAAATTAATTTTAAAGGAAACAGTCAGGGAGATAGAGATATGTCCTCATCTGTCTTTTCCACTTATGATCTGAGCCAATGATGTATCAGGTTCTTTACTACCAGAAACTGAACTCCCAAAAGGCAGATACTAATTTTCCATTTTTTTGTTGCCTACTAAATTAAGCACTAATAGCGTTTAAAATCAAAGAAAAACTGATCTCATAGATTAATTGCAGTTTTCAGCTTAATGTAAAGATTTTAACTTATATTTAGTAATTTAAGAATATGTCTTTTGATTACAAATATTTTTGTTTGTGTACTTCAAACAGAGTTATGGCAGTTCCTGCCACAGTTATTTATTTTACCTGCTATGACCAGTTAACTGATCTTCTGAGATCTAAATTAGGAGAAAATGAAAATTGCATACCAGTTGTTGCTGGAATTGTGGCCAGGTGTAAGTAATGAATGTATCTTATTTTCATTTAATGCATCTTTTTAAATGTTGACATTCATAGAGAATTTGCATAAATGCATAATATTGGTAAGATATATATTTGCATTATAGTGTGTTCCAGTTTGTTATTATCTCCACTTCAGAAATAACATGATATGCTGATTATCATCAGAATGAGATGGGAACCAACCCATCCTGTGAAGTTTATAAATTTTAGACTTTAGATTCTAAATTTTAGGATGACATCAGATTAATACCAAAGTCTAGAATCATTTTCCATAAAGACTTTGGTATCCAGAGTTCAATTATAGTTTAATTTACCTCTATGCAGAGGGACACTTTTTGTCTATGTGGTAGGAGTGAGGATTATTGGAGCATTAACTGAAGTGAAGGTTTTTCAGTAATTCTAACTGATGTATAATATTTCTGTTAAAGTTAAAGCCAGAAAGCATAAGGTTTCTATGAAAACAGATGTAAGAAATGCCTTTATCAAGGAAAAAAGTGTGCATCAATATGTTGGCATTTTTAAACGCTTTATTTTCGGATTTGCCGACATTTCAGAATGAACGATTAAAATATGCATGTAATGTTAGTTTTTGCATGTGTGTGTTTAGTACATGGCTTTTTGTTTTCATTTTCTTATATTTGCTCATTTGCATTAGTTGGTGCAGTAACTGTTATAAGTCCATTAGAATTGATTAGAACCAAGATGCAGTCTAAGAAGTTTTCTTATAAGGAACTACATCAATTTGTCAGCAAGAAAGTATCTGAAGATGGCTGGATTTCCCTTTGGAAAGGCTGGGCTCCTACTGTTCTTAGAGATGTACCATTCTCAGGTAGGATTTATCTTATTAATATCTGCTAAATTTTAGATTGCTTTATGATACTTCTGTGTAATTTTAAAATCGGTTAAATTTTAAACCCTTTAAGAATAAAGGTAACTTATCTTTCTTTAGTGACCTCAGTCCTGCTTCAGTACTGGTCTCTCAGAATTTTTTATGCCTTTATTGAATGAATAGTCTGTGTTTTCCCCCTCTGTTTCTTTGTAAATACTATGGTTTTCTTTTCTCTGTTTCTTTTTAAACACTGGTGTATATTTTCATTTTTATATACTTTTGTATAATGCCAACTACCTTAAATATCCTAAATAATTAGTAAACTATTAAAAATTAAAATATTCTAAAATTAAGCTCACTTATGAATTATATTGATGTCTACTTTTTTTAATTATTAAAGGCAACCATTTCCTCCATTAGATGAGTGTCCTGTCAAAGATAATTAAAAATCATGAAAAATAAGTACAAAATTAACAACTTGTATAACATGCATACTTCTAGTATGTGCTTACAAATCATAGGAGTTTCCATTTAAGACCTGAGAGAAGTAATCATTGAGTACCATTGGACTGATATTTCTCATTCTTTCGTTTTCCTTTGAGTTAATCATTTTCTTAAACTCTTATCTGTACTTTTTTCCCTTTTCATTAGTATTTTTCACCAATCATTATTGTTCAGTTATGCTGTTTAGAAACAACATAAAACATTCCTACGCCAGACTATAATTTCACTATATTTGATAAATAAAAAATAACAGTTTAAAAGTACTAAATACATTAATAAAATGAACACCTGTGAAATTCCCACTTCAGTATATGTGAACTCTAGAACATAGCACATTTTTCATTTGTGAAACCTTATAGATCCTTCTCCACTGTCACATCCTTAGAGGTAACCACTATACTGAAGTTTTCTTTATTATTCCTTTCAGTTTTAAACACATTTTATCACATGTATATTACTGTTAAACAATATATTTAGTTTTTCCTTTTTGTGCTTTAAAAAAATGCTTATTTTAAAAAGTTCTCTTAAGATTCTTTTTTGTTTTGTTGTGTAACTGTTGTCATCTTTTTGGATGTGTGAATAATGTAAACAATGTTACTTTATATATTTTAACAGTCTCTGTTCATATACAAGAATTTCTTCAGTAGTGGATCTACTGGTTCATATTACTATATGCATTCTAATTTTTATTATGTAATATTAAACCCATTCCTAAAGTGATTATGCTGGTCAGCATACCTCCTAGCTTCATGCTGCCTCACCTTAATACTCTCAAGCACTTTTATTGTCAAATTTCTTGGTTTTTGTTTAATAATGTTAAGTGGTATCTCATTTTAACTTATTTATGAATGAAGGTGGTTATTAATGAATTTAGACACTGCTTAATTGGCCACTTATTCATTTATCTGAAATTGATTTGGGGTTATAAAATGAAAATATTGTCTAAAATGTTGGTGCTTTATTAAAAATCTTGTTTTTACTTTGTTTTCCCTAGACATATCCTACCCCTTTATTCAGTAACTCTTCTTTAAAGGGTTTTATTAGAAAGAAAAAAATTTTTTATAAAACTTCTATACAGTCTTTTAAAAAAAAATTAGAACATCCACACTCTCCCTCAGCTTTTAGTAGCTATTTTTAAAGCTCTATATTTTTAAAAATAGTGGTAAGATTCATCTACAATATTGGATTTTAGCGTATAGGATCTCTCTATAGCTGTTGTTCCATATCCACAACCAAGGCACCCATAATCCATTGTGCTCCTTCCCCACTTTGTTTTTGTCCCTCCTCCACCACCCCACACCCCTGTATCAGTCACATTTTAGGGTTTGTTTCATTTTTTTTCTCTCATACTATACTTCCTAATAGAGTTTTGAATAGTAGCAATGATAATGTTGCATCCCTTATTCTAGTTAATTAAAGGAACTAGCTCTGTTGTTTTACCATTAATAACTAATTTTTGCTACATATTCTCGATGCATTTCGTTTTAAGAAGTTCCCTCTTCTTTCTTCATTTCTAAAACATTTGTTTTTCTTTTTATGAAAATGTGAATTTCATAAAAAAATTTTCATCATTTTACATGATCCTATGGATCTTTAATATGGTATATGTGTTTTAAACTTAATGTGATGAATTTTTTGTTTTTAAAGATTTATACTTATTTATTTATACATATAAGAACTGGGGTCTAGGCCAGAGATGCGAGAGTGGGAATAGTACCCACGGGAGGAGCGTGAGAGGATTAATCAGAGACAGAGTGGGGAGCAGAGCAGCCAGACCAAATGAAATACACTGCTGAGGGGAGCAGCAGGCAAGGCCACAGCAGCAATAGCATGTTAGCCCTGAAACTTAACCCCTGGGCCACCAGGAAAGCCCCTTAATATGATGTATGTTCTTTAAAATTTGTTATGATTATTGCTTTTTATGATTCAGATAACCCAATTTAGGTTAAACTGTATAATTGTCTATGAAATATGTTTGGTTCCAATTGGTTATTTATCTTTTTTTATTTTTTACTTGTATGTTCATGAGTGAGATTAGCCTTTATTTTTTAATCCCACTGCTCTTGTCAGGTTTTGGAATTAAAGTCTTACCTAGCTGATGCTTCAGTGTTTTTCTTTGATTGTTAATCAGCTTGCTAGAATATTACTGAGAATTTTTCTTTTTAATCTCACCTAGTTTATGTCTAAGCAGAAAGCAAGATGTGTCAAGGTTAGAATCTTTTTTTCCTTTAAAATATAACCTTCTAAATATTTTCTTTGAAGTTCACATTTCGTTTTTAATTAAGTATTCTTTTTATTCTCTGTTTTTATAGCAATGTATTGGTATAACTATGAAGTTTTAAAGAAGTGGTTGTGTGTAAAATCTGGTTTATATGAACCAACATTTATGATCAACTTTACCTCAGGTGCATTGTCTGGTTCTGTAAGTTTATTCTTTCTTTCTTTTCAGAATAATGATAAGTGTATTAAAACAGGACAAAATATTATATTGCAATTTTTGGCTACTGAGATATCTTTTAGATTGTACTTGTTATACATTTTTCTGTATATTTGCTATCTTATTTTGAGAAAATTATTTTTATCCATTAATATTTTAAGATGCACTTTGCATATTTTCATCTTATTACAGATACAGTATTATATTTTTCTAAAAGCCTTTTTTTGTTAGAGTATTACAGTTTATAACAGTTCATGATAATGATAACAGTTTCAAGTAGTATTTTCTTATTTGAAAGTATTTAGCCATTCATTTATTCATTAAAATGACAGTAGATCTTGTAGGTAATATTTCATGAAGAGCCATTACATGTGTATAGGTATACTGAACAGAAGTAATTTTATTCTCTCATGTTAATTCATGTTTCTTTGGAAACATTTTTAAGAAACTAAATATTTGTTAGAGTTTTAATAAAAATTAACATTTTTGGGTAGTAGAGAATATACCTTTTCCTAGTCTTCCACATAATGAAAAGCCTTATGCAGACTCTGCCACTTAGTAAATAACTACTTATTAATTTACTTAGTAGTTGTGAGAGCTTAAGAAATAAGTGAACTTTTCTAAGATTATTCACTTTTGAAATTTGAGAGAATACATGCATGGTATCTTTATTTAATAAAACCTCTTCAAATATACCTGGTTTCATTTTAAGTTTCTATTTAGCTATGATTTTCATTAGAATTCTTGTTAGGTAATGTGCTAATTAGAAGAATGTAAAAATATTTTAGGAAGAATTTAAAGGTAGATTTAAATTAATCAATTGTACTTTTTCATAGTTTGCAGCTATTGTAACTTTGCCATTTGATGTGGTAAAAACACAAAAGCAGACACAGCTTTGGATATATGAAAATACTAAAAGTAAGTTTAGTTAATTTAAAACGTATAAGACACCATGAAAATGTTTGTTTTCTTTCTACATTCTGTTAGCAGTTGTCTGGAATAAGAAAAAAGATACTTTTGTCCTCTGATGCTTTGTTCTTTATTTAACTAAATGAATAAACTTAGAATGGAATGTCAGAAAAAAATACTCTGAACACATACAGAAATTTAAGAAATCTTACAATCTGTGTTTTTGACCTGGCTTAAGTTAAATCTTATAACAGCTATCTATAGAAGATTAAATTATGTGTGTATCCTTACAAATCAATCTAGGCAACTGTGAGTGAAAGATAGGGCATAGTAGAAACCTTTTTCTGTTGTGTTTTGTACCATTAGTGTGCATCTACAATTCTTTTTCCCTGTTTATTTTTTAGCTTATCATCTACTGACATGTCATTTCCAATTACTACCTCCTCTATTTTTATTCCTTGTAACCTGTCATTTCATATGTAACAAAAATTATTTTAGTTGCTTTCAGTAGATGCCCTCTTTATTATCTATAGAAACTATAGCACACCTATTTGAAATTATCCATTACAAAATTTGTCATATAAACATTTCACTAAGCCTATTATAATATAGATTATCTTAACCCAGCTGAATATTTTGCATAACTGTTAAAACAGATATTGATAGAAACATTGATTACAGATCTTTGCAAATAAATCTGATGCATATCGGTGACAGCTTTGTCCTTTGACTTAGTGAAGTTCTACTCCCTTCTGATATTATAGTCTAATTAACAATTTGGAGGTAATCAAAGAATGGGAAGATTCTTCCAATCCCAGATATGTGTCCTAGAGAAGTGTACCAAGGATAGATTCTTCCAATCCCAGATATGTGTCCTAGAGAAGTGTACCAAGGATATTCATTAAAGCTTCATTAATCCCAAAAGCTAGAAACCACCTAAATGTTCTTTTAGGCAAATGGGTAAATTGTGATAATTCATATAATTCAGATTTTATATGAATAAAATATAGCAATATTTGCCAAGAGATAATCCTAAAAATACATTATAGAAGTATGAAAATTGAGTTTGTTTTTGGGTTATATTTATGGATATGTTCAGATGTAGTAAAGTTGAAATAATACTTGTGAAAAAACATCAATTCAGAAGAAACCCATTCTATATATCTTTTTGATTGCATCCAGTCCTATAAACCTTTTAAACTTGTAGCCCTTTCTCTGATTTTTCTTATAATGAATTTAACTACTAGAAGATTTAAAGCTCTTTAGGCAAATAAATCTGTTCTTACTATAATGAAGCAATTTACTCCCAAAGGCAGTAAACACTATTTTATGTGTATAGCTATATAAAAAATTAAGTGTAATTTATAATAGCATTTCTTTATTTTAAATTTAGTTTCTATGCCTTTGCATATGTCAACCTGGGCTATAATGAAGAACATTGTTGCTAAGAATGGACTTTCTGGATTATTTACAGGTAAAAATACTTTGCCATATCAATGAATAAAATATTTTTTGAAGTTTATATCTTCTTGAACTAGCTTTCAGCAGGAAATTATTGAAAACATTTCAAACTTATGATTTCCTCCAAAATATCTTCATTGTAAGTTTAAAAACTGTTAAATAACAATAGATTTGCAATTGATAAAAGAAACTTTCTATATAAAGTAATATGGAATTGAACTAAAATTGGAATTGAGCAGTTTGCTCTTTAATAGCACAAAACTTTATATATCATTTCATTTCATAACAGCATTATCAGAATGAAACCACATTAATTGTATTTTATAAAGCAAGGTAACCTTCAACTTTTTTTCAATTCTCCTTTCAGGCCTAATTCCTCGTTTAATTAAAATTGCTCCTGCTTGTGCCATCATGATCAGTTCTTATGAATTTGGAAAGTCGTTCTTCCAGAAACAAAATGCTCAAAGACAGCAATACTAGTGATGCATTTTCAACTTGAAATAACAACCATAGCCAAATAATATGGTGGAGACTCTGGCAATAACTGTTTTCACCATTATCTTCTATGACTTTATATTTCTTTCCTTCAAATTTAAATGAATACTAATTTCTACTTTGCCACTAAGACATAATCCTAGTTTTAAAATAAATTTTGTTATTCTAATTTTTGAGATCAAAGATTTCTAGATATGACAACCATAGAGCATTCTTGCAAAGAAATGAAATAATTTTACTATACTGAAAGCAAGCTCTGAGAGGTTGATGCTACAGGTTTTGGTTTTACTTAATCTTTTTGGGAATGTGTCCCATACAAAGAACATTTTGAATTTTGTGCTGAATGGTATGTAATCTAGAAGAAATATGCCCAAATCTTTCATATACATTGAAATCAGGTTTATATATTTTTTAAATTCTTTCACAGTAGATACTAGAAGGTAGTCTTTAAATAACATTATTGACATTTACTAAATATTACTTGCTATTTCCTTTAGTTCAAGTGTATAAGGTTTTCTTTTAACCCTGCTTTTGTTTGAAGGTTTTTATGTGTTGGGGTTTCTCTGATCAAAGGTATGGCGAGTTCATCGTTCTGAACAAAATGTAATCATTTATTTAATATAAATGCTGACAAATGCTGCTACTTTTGATGACTAAAGATCCAGTACTAACTACTGCTATTTGTAACAGAGAGGTTTTTTTTTTTTTAACTGATTGTATGAAATGTTTACTGCAGTCAAACTTGGATGTGAGTCAAAAAGCATATTGTATTTAGACTAGTGAAAATAATGTTTCTAAATAGGAAGGGTCTGGTGTCAGTCATCTTGTAACTCAAGTATCATTGTGGACTTCTGTCACTTCTATTGTTCTAGCAAAATTAAGATTAAAATATATCAGTTCCAAAATATTTCCATAATGTCCTTTGATTCTATGAATCTCCCATTAGTATGCTAGAGCGTGAAATAGTTTCATTGCAGAATAGCTTTCTGTTACTTAGTGCTTAGTGCCTAAGTAATTTAGTTTAAGATTGTAAGAAAGACAAGATAGCATGACAAGAAATGATATCTGATTTTATAGTTTTATTTGACTTACCAATATCTATATCCTATAAGAAAAAGCACTTTAGTATATGTGTATTTTATGGAAACAATGCATTTTTTTACCCCTAAAGTAGAATACTATATTTAGTGTTGCTAGAGGAATTCATGTATTTGAACTCATGTATTTTTATTGTAGTAGAAAAGTATTGCTGTACCAGAAATAAACTGTATAGGGTAGTACGTAACTTTTGTGTTTATTTTATCTTGTGTTGAATTACCTAACATTTGCTATACCCATAAAATAGAAATAATTGACTTTAACTTTTATTTTCATTAAAATATTTTATGCTTTTTGAGTTAAAATTATTACTGTGCTTCTAGCTATTTTCATAGGAATTCGTTATGTTAATACTTTGTGTACATACATACATATGCACACATGAAAAATTAACTTGAACTATAAATATACACTATATATTTAATGCTATTAAATTTATATTGATTTTTCTTTGCTTTTTTGATAACTGAGAAAGGTAGAAAAATTTAGAATTATGCTCTGAATAAAGTCATTTATCTCAACTTAGTATCTCTACAAATACCAGAAGGGAAATGTACAGTCCCCCAACCTCATATTGACTGTATTTATGGAAAAATATTTTTATGATTAAAATAAATAAATCCAATTTATTAGTAGTTTTTCTAACATATACTGCATGTAGTATATCTGGATGCAAAGAAGGCTGAATTGAAGCTTTCTCTACCCTTAAGTGGTAAAGAGGCATTAATACTTTTGTTAAAAAAATTTGGCTACAAATGTGTTCTTGGTAATGTTTTTAAAAGGAGCAGTTTTATTCTAATAATGTTTAGTTTTCTAATATGCACATTTAATTTTCTACATGCAAATTTTAAGAAATATCCTGTTCAGGTATTATTAGTTTACTACATTTCCTTTAATACACATTTGATTTACTAAAGAGTTAAAATAATTTTTTCTCCAATTTCAAGAAAAATTGCACTATACTTAAATTCTTCCCTTTTTTTCTCTGACACCTTTAAATTCTTCCCTTTTTCTGGGATACAAATTCAACGGGTGAAGAAAGTTTAATGGATCACTTGAAGTTTTTTTGCAACATGAACTTTTAAATGTAAATTACTATTTTTGTATTTTAATCTATCATTCAGTACTTAATGAGATCTTTAAAAATGTAGGCTGTATACAAGATGGTGAAAGGACTGCAGAGATTCTCACTGGCCTTAAGGAAGTTTCTGAGCTTTTTTTGATAGAAGTATACAAAGGGAGTGATGGGAAAACAAAGGAACTCTCTACTCAGCCTGGGGCAGATGGAAAATGACCAGGAAATGCTTCTAAAGTCAGGATGGTTGACCCAATAAATATATCTGTACTTGCTAGTCTTAATCAAGAAAACGAATTAGTCAAAGTAGCTTTGAAAGCAAACTGGAAATGTTGTCAAAGACCTGTATCTTAAAGGAGAACACGAAGTCAACAGGAAACCAAGGAATGACTTTTGGCATAGCTCTGATTAATGAAATTGGGCCCCCCACCTCCCTCCACACCCAAGGCCAGCAGTATTTTACTAAAAGAAAGCAAGAGTGTATAGTCATTTAGTATAGGAAGAACAGAAAAACCAAAATCCGTTACATGTACTAAGACCTAGTATTATATAGTGACACTTTGGTTTTAGTTCTGTTTTAGAACAATAAGCAATATGCAATATGGAAAATGCAATTATAAACAGGCATTCTATTTAAGAGCAACCTAAAAGTTTTGGTTTGGACTAAAATACACTTTTAAGAGGTACCATAATTACACAAATACAATTTTAGCTCCTTCTTTCTATCAGTTGAAAAGAGATAATGTTGAGGAGGAAGAGAAGCTGCTCTACATATAGATGTGACTTGGGCAAGGGATTTAGACATTTACATATAACAATTAAATGTTAAAAAATTTAAGAGTCCTGATGTTCAAAGCAGTCATACGGTATTACAGAGGTAACCCAATGTATTTTTCTATCAGTAGTGGAGCTTTATCTGTTGATAGAAACTTTAACCAAGTTCCATAGATGTAAATTTGAAATTCATTTTTAGCCACTTGAAAACTTTCATGCAAATTTAATAAAGATGACAAATAAAAACTTATTTACCTGCATTTTTTAGGTTTCTGTCAGTCATAATAATAGCTTATGTTTGGCATTTACTTCTTAATGACTTGTGCATATAATTGCATTTAATACTGATGTCATCATCTTGGTGATGTTTCCATTTTACAAGTGAGAAAACAAACATGGTGATTAAATAAATCAGCAACATTGTCAAAACCACTGCTGTACTGTACTGCTTCAGTAGTGATTATGTAACTAAAGCTTGTCATGTTATTTTTTTAAAAAATAAAAACTATGAGTTGAAATAAGGATTTCTCCATACCATTTTCATATTAGTAATTCACGTGTGAACAGACATTTACCACATTTGTTGAAACAAAGTTATTCACTGAACAACTTAAATCAAGTAACTTTTTGTCAAGAGCAAAATAAGACTACTAACACATGGTACAAAATGTTTAATAGACATGCAACAAGTATCAACATCAAGGCAACAAAATACACATGGAAATATTAGCATATAATTCAGCATTCTGTTTTGTAGAGGCTGTACAAACAAATACTACCACCTAAAATTAAAGATTGAGACATACATTTTTCTTCATGCAAACATTAACAAACTACCTTTATAGCTAGCGTGTAATGAACTGTGTAGAAACTTGAATTCATATTAGCAGATGAATTTTATACCAAGAGCTCCAAAAAAGGAGGAAAGTTATGATTCTCAGATGTCACGTTGAAATCTGCAGTTAGCAGTATGTTAAGACGCACATACTATAGACATTAAACAAATCTGAATTTTTTTTCAATTATGGAATCTTGAATTTTTCTTTCTATAAAAATGTATGAAAAAATTATCAATGATTTCTTTTAGTTACTGAAGGAACTTTACTGAGTAATTTTCAGCTGACAGTACACCATGAATGAGAAAGCCTAACATTCTGATTGAGAAAACAGCAAAAGTGCTTAAGGCCAGTCTGAAGTTTTTACAGTTTTCCTCCCCTTTAGCCATTTCTTACTCCCTTCTCCCAGCTTTCTGTACTCCCATTTCATAACTTCATACCCTCCCCTGGGCTGAGCATACCTCACTCACAGTAAAGTATACTGAGTTAAGAATTGATTGAAAGTACCATATCTCAAGAATATTTGTGTTTCTACAAGTACTAAAGCCCTAAGCTAAAGGAATAAAGCTTTGAATATGTTCTTATACATCTAAGATAACTTATTTTAAGGGCTTCTGTCCTCCTTTGTCCCTGAAATGACACTTTTTGAACAGTCTTACATATAAGACTAGCCTTATTACTATTATCTTAAATTCCAAATTATGAGTACAGCGCTGAAGATTGCATAAAACATACTCCTACATTTCTAATATAGAGAACGAGTGTGGTTAGTTCAGTGCTTCTTGTTTCCTCTCAATAAACTGTCTTAGGAGGAACATTTTTCTCCTATGTCAAAGCTACAATGTTTGAATGTAATGTTGTAATAAACAAAATATGAAGTCCCCAATAAGTGTAGCTTCTTAATGCAAATAGTGTATAAAACTTCTTTGGCACAACTGATCATGTTTTCCTCATATTACTTACTATAGAAAATATACTTCATACAGTTTTTTCTTTCAGTGTGGTGGAATTTTTAGGGAAAAAATGTATAGTTGTTCCAAATAGTGCAAAAAGATTTAAAATACAGCTCTGAGTTATGGTTTCTTAAGAAAATCTTTTTATCTGCAGAAGTGCAAGGATTTTTATATTAGCATTATATGAGATTATGGCATGATTAGTGCTAGAACCTGCAAAACATAAATGACACTTCATTGTTGCATACAAGGGAAGATAAAACAACACTGTCAGGTATTGAGTTTGGTGATTACCCCACTGATCTTTAAAAAGTTCTCAGATCCTTAATTGAACTTGAAATCTTTTCTGATAAAATATTTTTTAATGTTATGTTCTAAATTTTTAAATGTCCAACTTTTGATGCATATTTGATCATATTTTTATATGGTAGCCTTTTAAGAAAGTCTTGGTAAAACAAAAATAAGAAATTTATTCATTATACCTAAATGATCTCAAATACTGCAAAACATTTTCCTAGAACCATAATTTAATTAGTGCCTAAAGGCACATTCCTATAGAATTTATAAAATGTTAAGTAGAATGTTAAATTCATATTAAATGATAATGCTAAGTAAAAGCTGAACTGACTATTGTGAAACTGCAGCCAAGGACCATCTTATATTAAAAACAAGGCATCTGAATGTTAGTGCCTAAACAAAAATAAATGAAAAATGAAATTTTCATTCTAGAAAACAATAACTGAATAAAAGAACAAAAGAAAATGCATAACTTAAGTCTGGAATAAAATCCCACTCTGTAGGAATTATGACATTTAAATATGTGAAATTCAACTGAATAATAAATATACAACAAACATACAGTGTGTAGTGGACTAATAATTTAGAGAATCTTTGAATGTTTTTGAAATCCTATTCATTTTTAAACATCCTTAGTGACAAGTATAAGAATTAAAAAAAATGGCAGGATCATTTTTACACACATTTACATGGAGTATTTGAATACTCTAATATAAGCAACAGAACTCCAGACATGTGCCAGAACAATATAAAATTCCAAGGGTTTTCCCAGCAGTCCAATGTATGAGAACCTATGCAACATAAAAACTTTTGACTTTTACATAAGAATTTTCAGGATGGAGTTAGACCTGGACTTGTCATCTCTGTTGTAGGACTTGCAAGGTAGTCATTAGATTTTAGACTTGTTAGAGATTTGTAACTTGCCACTGAGGTTAGAGACCCACAGAGACCAAGTAATGAGGGAGTATCTTCTTTACCTAAAAATTAGGATAAAAAAATATTTAACTGTCCTTGAAGAATAATGTCATTAAAAATTTTCAAACTTTAAAAAATAGTGCAAACACATCTAGCTGTAAAATCAGAGACCTATGTATCAACCTGATCTATTTGGAGTTTCAGTGTTACCCTTAAAAAATACATCTCACCCCTGGGAGAATGGTCTATATGAAAAAGACAGGACTCAACAAATATTGATGAGGATGTAAAGAAAAAGAAACACTCATACGCTGTTACTGGTAATGTAGTTTGGTGCACCCTCTAGGGAAAACAGTATGGAGATTCCTTCCAAAATTAAAATGGACAAACCCTATTATTGAGAAATACCATTCTCAGTATTTATCTGAAGAATACAATACAGAAAGATTGATACTATATTCATAGCAATATTCACAAAAGTCAAATCATGGAACCAACATAAATTCCCAGCAACAAATGCAAAGAAATTATGAAATATATACTCAATGGACTACTACTCATATTTAAAAAGATGAAATGCTACCTTTTGGGACAAATGGATGGAGCTTGAAATGATTAGGCTAAGAAAAAAATGTCAAAAAGTGAAAACCGAAAAGTGCTGGGTAGTTTTATTCATACATGGAGCATAAGTAAACAAAGCAAAGGAGTTGTCAGAACACTAAGGCTAGTTCTTAGATTCTATGAAAAACATACTGGTTACCACAGAGTCATGGGGTGGGGGACAGATATAGGAGACAATGTAATAGAATAATAGCACCAGAGATCTGATAGGGGGTGAATGAGGTAAGTACACTTATGGGAGTAATTTCTATGCCCAAAATTATACAGATATGTAAATGAGGGGCAGCTCAATAAAACTGAAGAGACAAGTTAACAGTAAGTTAACTTGTACACGTAACTTACTGTACAAGTTAACAGTAAGAAACAAAACCCCAAACTAATCCAATTTGAGCAATAGTAAATGACATCAGGAGATATGTAACCAGCAGATACAGATCTAGAGGGCTAAATAGCTCATGAAGATGTTGAATATTATTTGCCATCAGAGAAGTGCAAATTAAAACCACAAAGAAATTACTGTATACCTATCAGAATGACTAAAATAAAAATGGTGACAACATAAAATATATTTTCATTCAAGCATATTTTTCTTAAAGACACATAATTTAATATTTACTACAGATGTAATTGTTTTTATTCTATTTCTGAGTTTAATCAACTGTCAGTTCATTTCTTCCTATTTCTGGGACATTTCTGGTTAGTTTTTGATTTCTCATTTAAAATATTTGTATTATATCTCAATGCTTATTTGAAAACATTTAATAAAATATGCCTATATTATTTTTTTCCTGTTTCACTATTGTTTTTCTGGGAGAGGGTTTCATTGGCTTTTTTCTGAATTATTTTTTTTTCTAAATTGTAATTTTGTGTGCATTGAAATTTTCTGTGAGAGAAAAGCTGAGTTGATGTGTTATGAAATTTTTTACTCAAGAGTACCTATGTGTATCAAATATATAGTTTCATTACTATTACGACATTGGGAGGAAGAGGACTGTGAGTGGAAAGGACAAGTCTTTCATTTTAAAAAAGTTTTCTGTTTTTTTACTGCATTCCTTTTTGTTGGATTTCAGTTGGTAATATATTTTTTGGCTGGCAATTTTTTTTTGGTCATTAGGTAATTGGGAATGGAAATTACAGAAGTGATGTTTAGTCTGTTACTTAACTTGAATTCTTAAAATCAATACTTTTTCTTTTTTTACTTATACAGAGACTTTACTCGAGAAATTTACAATGACATCATTACCACCTAGTATCATCAGTTAAATTAGAGTTTACTTATAGGATTATAAATTCCATTGACTGGACAACTTTATAGGTGTATCCACAATTTAGTGTCATACAGGGTTGTTTTACTGTCCTAAAAATCTCTGTACTTTGCCTATTTATCCTTTCCTGCTCTTCCTCCAAGTATTGGTTTTTATCATGTAAAAATTCTTCTTGTCCTATTGCTATTAAAACACCCACAATTAAAAACTTTATTAGAATCCTTATTTAAAATGTCCTTTACACAAGAGACATTACTAAAAACAAGAGACATTACTAAAAACAAGAGACATTACTAAAAAAAATCCATTCACAGATTGGGTTAGTTTCTAAAAGCTACATATTCTAAATTATGACAGTAAATCTAGTTTATTCTCTTCCAATTACATTAGCGCCACTGAGACATTTTAACACTATGTTTATTACATCACCAAAAGGATTCATTTGTAGTCAGCATTTACAGAACTATGAAAACAGACTAAGACACTTTTAGCAACCATGTTAAAAGGAACAATATTTAGCATAAGGCAATTTTCCTATTGTTTTAGATTTCTAGTTCAATTTATACTTTATCCCGTCATATCTCATTCCACATGTTTTATGACATCTGTTCAATGAACAAATGGTGAAAAATATACACAAGAATCACAATAAATGCATTATGAGAAAATGCCTGTGATGGGATGGATAATCTCTGAACAGAGATCTGATAAAGAGGCTGCTATGCAAAGACCTTCAGAAATATGTGTTAGGGCAGTGGGAAAAACAAGTGCCAAAATAACTGAAGAAAACAGACTCAAAGAACATGTCAGTTTGTTGCAGTATATAAAACAAGAAAATAGAATGGCATAAAATGAAGCAGAAGCTGGCAAAGTTAGATCAAACTAAGGTCATAAACAGTTCGTGTTTCATAATTTTCACTGAGAACACTGGAGAATTTTTAATAGGTATATGATACTCTCTGATTTATGGTTTCAAAGATTACTGATTATTGAATAGAGAATTAAATGTGAGGAAACAAAAAAGAAAGGCCAATTATAAAGCTGTTGCAACATTCCATTCAAGAGGCTTATTCCAAGTGGGTTAGTCTAGGGTTCTATTGATAAGGAAAATGTTGTCAATGCATATAACATTTTGTATGGGAAAATGACAGGACTTAACAATAAACTGACTTATTTAAGGGACAAGAGGAGAATTGGAACGCGTATAGTAATGCCATTTTTTTTTGCAGTGGAGAACACAGGAAAAAGCTAAAGGCATAGAATGCAGGTTCCCCTGATATAGGGAACTATTGTCTCCCTAGCTCTTATACACTAGCAGTGGAGAACTGAGAAAGAGAAATAAAGGATGTGAGCACCAAATCATTCAGTACTACCTGTCCAATATGAAGTGCTAGGGTTACAGCTATAGTTATTGTGGAGAAAGACAAGACTAGACTCAACAAAGCTACTGTAGTTTAAAATGAACAGCCTAAATGTCAAAATTTGAATTGTCTTCACTTAATTGAAAGTGATTGTTCAGGAAGATACAAACCAATGGAAAGAGCTGAAATAGTTATAGGGATAAAGAAAATTCTTTTTTATTTAGTCCCCAAGTTTTTCAGAGTCCTCATAAACCAGGTACAAAGTGACTTAAGAATAAGGAAATGGTCAGTTGTTTTCAAAACTATTGAAAAGTTTAGTATGAAGAAGACAGAGAACTTAGTTCAGTGGTAGATAAAAGTCATTTAGGAAATAGTAGGTACACAAAAGCCAAATTGGAGTGGTTAAAAAGCACTAGAAATTAAGGTAATAATTACAGGCCATCTTTTGAAAAGGTTATCCATAAACTGGAATCCCCTGCTCCCCTTGTTCTTGGGAATACTGTCCTGACCCCCAGAGTTTCTGCTTGTCAGCTTTGTGTAGGGTCATGCAGGGAGCGAAAGTCCTGGTGTGAGGTACATATGGGAAACCAGTCTCTGCTGAAAACAGCAGGCAGATAATAGAGATAATAACTCTGAGCAACAGGAATAATAGAGGCCCCAGGCAATAGCCCTTGGCCACTCCACTCTCACATACATCCCCAGTAACTGCTTTCCCCAGGCAAATATACTCCCTACTTCCTGGACCCACCTTTGTACTTGATGGAAATAAATATGAGACTGCATTTGTATGGCTGTAGCCCCTCTAGGCTTCTCATTACTCCACACGCCTTTGAGTAACCATTCCCCCATCCCACACTACTTCCCACATACCTCCCCACCACACCAGGTGACTGGAACTTGAGAAAAAAACAAAAGCAGACCATTTTTAATCATCATCATAGCTTAAATGCTGTAGCAAGTTTCACAATGCCCCTATTAGTCTTCTGTGACTCTCTGCAAGCAAGTATAGTGCTGAAAAAATATTTAAACAGATTTTTTTCTTACCTTCACTAATTAAATTTAATGTATCCTGTTTTCCATCTCCTTCTTGTGATTGACTTGGATCCAGTGAAGTCTGAGAAAGGCTAACTTCAGCTGATAACTGGTCAAGACTTTGATAACTTTTTCTGCAAGACAAGGATGAAGTATTACTTGAAGCTATTCTGACAAAAAATAATTTCTAAAATAATCTTTAAATAAATCTTCAATTTATTGAATTTTTTATTGATGTCACCCTAATTATGTTGTCATATGATTTCCATTATATTTTCCCCTCTATCTTCTTTTGAAATATATCTGTTCAGTCTACCACAAAAGGAAAAGAAAATAATACTTGTCAAAAAATTAAAATCCTTATGCCATTTTTGTTTACATAAGAAATAGGAACTTCTGGATATGATCAACTGTCAAATGAGCAGAAAATCTACCAAACACTCTTACTGAAGAAACAACTTACATAACAATGACCTAATGTTTCCTAAGTACTTCAAAATTCTTCAGTGCTTTGATATTTTTAAAGACATTAGATAACAACTTATTTCTACAAGTTCTGCTTATGTAATTAAATACCTGCTTGTGTAAAAATACTGAGGATAATTAATCTTTCCATATCTGTTTGCTATTGTGAGCATATTTCTTGTTAAATATGTTAACTAGTAATGAATTACAGCAGAGGAAAAACTCCAGTATAAATGGAAAGAAGTAAATGAAGATTTATTTTTAAACTTTCCTCATTGTTTTTTCAGGGTAAAATCAACTCACTCCATCAAGATAAATATAGTTTTGCAGTTACTGACATTTCAAATAAGAACATAACTCATTATTATATTCAAATATAAATTACCTAGAAAAGGAATGTATTTTTCAAGATCAACATCTATTTTTCAGAGTAGCCAAACTATTTGAATTTCTAGAAATACCATATATTCTATTAGTTATAGGAAAACATAATTTAAATGCTATGGCTATTCTCTATACACACAAGAGTAAATTTACTTACAAATGTATCAAAGGTATGTATATTAAATATGGGAGGAAATACCAAATAGTTACCTTTAGGTTATGAAGAATACGGTGATGGAATAACTTTACTAGCATACAGTGCAAATAGTTTTCATACTCTATAGTATGATGAATTCAAGTTTTGAGAATATAAAAGTTCTGAATTATATTTTGAAGTAGTAAGGAATTTAAATATGGGAAAAATTCTGATAATATAATAGCACATATTTGAGCTGTACAATATGTACTTTAAAAAAATAATATCAGGACCCTTCCTGGTGGCGCAGCGGGTTAAAGCACAGCACTAAGAAGCTTAAGCCACTTCCGCATGAGTTCGATTCCCGCCTGCCCCGGAGGAGATCCACATGGCGTGGCACACCTCTCCTGACCGCCCGCTGCTCCCCTCAGCAGTGTACTTTGTCAATCTGCCTGTTCTGCCTCTGGTGAATTCTCTCACTCTCCACATCTCTGACCTGTACCCCAGTTCTGTATGAATAAATAAATAAATCTTAAAAAATAATAATAATAATATCAGGGTCCTCCTTGGTGGTGCAATGGGTTAGGACACAGAACTGCAAGCCAGCTGCAGTCACTTCAGTGCAAGTTCGATCCCCGACCCCAGAGGTGACCCACATGGTACAGCTCATACTTGCTATAAAGTCTGCCATAAACTCTCCTGTCTTGCCCGCTGCTCCCTTTAGCAGTGTACCACGTTGATCTGCTTGTTCTCCCCACTCTGTTACTGGTGAAACCTCCCACAGCCCCTGTACCTCTGGCCTGTAAGCTCTTAATTCCATTCAGCCTTTTTAACTACTATGTTACCTCCTCTCATATAGCAAGAAATGACTCCACTTATTTTATTAATAACCTTTTTTAAAGATTTAATTTTTATTTATTTATGCATACAAGAACTGGGGGTTAGGCCAGAGGGAGGAGTGAAGGGGTAGAGAGGATTCACCTGAGACAAAGTGGGGAGCAAAACAATCAGATCCTCTAAAATACACGCTGAGGAGAACAGTGGATAAGACAAGAGAGGTCTGCTTCCATGTGTGTCAGCTCCAGGCCAAGGATCCAACTTCTGCCACAGTGGCTGCCAATAGCTTGATAGCACTGAGATTTAACCCTTGCGTGAGGGAGGTCCCATTATAAACCCTTCTAAAAGAACAGCCTTGCTTGCTGAGATGTATCGTGTAAACTATATCTAACTATATCACTAAAAATTTCACCAAAATTCTATTTCTTTAGTTACAGAGGAAAGCATGTGAATTAATAAAGTTATAAATATGTTCTTTTCCAACTTCCTTTTCTGTGCCTATGAGCAAAAAATAAGTCTTCTTAAAATGAATGGCATTGAATGATTTTCTGACATTAACTTCTCTTCACAGGAAACTTAGTTAATATATTAAAATATTAGGAATTATATATAGAAATATTGCATATAAAAAAGAAACCAAGAAACAAAAATTAATTCATTGAGTATTTTAAGGACTGAATTTTACAACACATATTTAAAGTAATGTCAAGGACTACTACCCACTTAAAATAAGCTTTCTGTTGGACTTACTGTAGTTCCTTTTAGAGTACCACACTTCCAAAGTGATTCTGGAAGCTTTCCACCCTTTAAATTTGTCACAGTGAACTATCCTTGAATTCATAGTCTTAAACTTACCCAAATGCCAATGAATATAAAATAGAATTTAGTAGACAATAATGTTCTGAAGCAATAACAAAAGTTCCAAGTCAAAATAAGCCACCTAATTAATAAGAAACTAAGAACAGCACTACACAGCATCTCTTTTGCATGAAAATGACTGAAGACCCAGAACCTGGGAGGAATCCAGTGCAGCTTTCAGTAATTAAAAATGGTTTGATTTCCACATTCTGACTTTATTTCCCCAGGTGATTGACAGCTACTATAGCTGACAAATTGTTGTTGTCATGAAGTAAGTTATTTGTCTATGGGGATTCTGTCTTAAAAAGATCACTACTAAGTTTCATCTTAGAATTCTTGACTCAAATACATCATACTTTAAGACTTATATGTAACATATCAATCACATCAATATAAACAGCAATCTGTAAGTAGTTAACCCTTAACAAAGGGGTGTGAGGTTCAGGGGCACTGACCTCATTCAGTCCAGAATCTGTCTATAACTTTTGACTTCCCAAAACTTAACTCTGGTTGGTCTGTTTTATTTCCAGGGAATTGGTTTCAGGACACATACATTGCCCTGCCCCCACCTCTAGCCAGAAAAACACACCAAAGTCCCAGATGCTCAAGTTCCATAGAGTTGGCCATGTGGGGTCTAGGTTGGATGAAATCTGTGGTTAAGGAGTCCAGAGACAAAAAAATCTGCATATAAGTAGACCTGCACAGCTCAAATCCATGCTTTTCAAGGGCTATTTTCTCAGAATAAAATTTTTAAAACTGAAGTTTACTAAGTTACCCAACATACAGTATGACTATATAAAAGTTTATTGTATATACCATTCGGTATAATTTAGACTTGTAGGAATTATATCAGATGTCATAAGCATTTTGGACATAATGAAATCCAATATATACAACATCTAATTATTTAAATATTAAGTCACTCAAATGTAAATTTCTATGCACAGCACTCGAGACCAAATAAAGGCAAGGTAAAGAAAATTGAGCAACAGGCTGAACTCACCTATCTATAATTTTTTCTATAATACTACATACACTTCATATCATTGATCAGAAGTAACGATGTGGATAATCTACATTTTTATATCTTTAATAGATGTTTTGAGGTCAGTAATAATTTCCATTATCTGGTAGTCACTGAGCAACAGAGTGCACAGGAGCCATCCACATGTAGAAAATAAAAACAAATATTATGCACATTGTATAAACAGAGGCATGTAAAACTGCATAAAAATATATATGTTATTCTTTTTATTATGGTTTGTTTTTCACAGCAATATGCTTAAGGAACAAATAAGCATTTGTCATAACAGGATAGATAATCTTCCATTAAAATTAATGGAAGGATGCAAAGGAGTCTGAAAAGTATATATATATATATGTGTGTGTGTGTGTGTGTGTGTGTGTGTATACATACATATATATATATATATATATATATATATGAACTAGGTCAATGCAAAACCAACAAGATATAAAAGGTTTTGCAGTTTCAATTCTTTAGGGAGTCCTATTTCAAAAATATTGGAAAGACAAGCATGGAAAGGAGAAACTCTAATGCATCTGAAGTGATTACATAGCTATCCACAAAAAAAAAAGAAAGAAAAATTAGTCGACATGGACCATGAAGGACATATAAAAGCTCATAATTCTCAATAATTTTATGAATGATTACTAAATTGGGTCATAATGATAAATTTGAAAGATTAGAAAAACTTAAGTAGAAAATATGGATACAATGACAATAAATCTTAAGTTTTTAGATAAGAACAAGTAGATTAGGCAATAGTGTGATAAAATTATTCAAGTTTTATAAACAGCATAGTAAATGGATAGAAATTTAAGACCTTACTATGAATGAGATTGTTCTATGAGTGGGTAACAATATAACTAAGTTATCTAATGGTTCATTTTAAGAAATTTCAAGAAGACCAAGAAATTCTTTAAATAAAATAACAAATTCTCTCTTCTCAAAGCTAGTCAGCTGAATGAGGTTACAAAGTTCCTAGAGAAATAGCTATAGATTGCTCATATTCTTAGCACGAAATTATAGTAAAATGACAAAATTATAGTTTTAGTTTCGTTCTCCAAATTATCCAAAGAGCTAAAGGAATAACAGAGTTAAGAACTATAAAATTTGTGGCCCTCCCTGGTGGTGCAGGGGGCTAAAACACAGCACTAAGAATCTAAAGCTGCTTCCGCATAAGTTCCATTCCGATTGCCCCGGAGGTGACCACATGGCGTGGCAGACCTTTCCTGACCCGCCCGCTGCTCCCCTCAGCAGTGTACTTCATAGATCTGCCTGTTCTGCTCCCCACTCTGTCTCTGGTGAAGCCTCTCCCCGCCCCTGAGCCTCTGGCCTGTACCCCAGTTCTGTATGAACAAATAAATAAATCTTTAAAAAAAAAAAAAACTATAAAATTTGAATCTGTGCTAACCAAACTAACAAGCAAGGTTTTCTTTGCTGCTGTTATAATACTTCACTTTTTAAAAAGTAGTTATTATTGTGATATACAATGTAAGCTAGAAATAAAACTTCCACTTAGACTCCTCATTAACTCTTCAATAGGTAGCTATAGCAATAGGTCTTCTAAAGGTAGGCAAGGGTACATATAAGTTTTTGGCTAAAATATTTTACTTCTATTTAAACTGAGAATGTGGATACTGTCATTAAAAGGCAGAGTTATTCATTATTCTTGTGTCAAGACTTAATTTTGTATGTATATATAGAGCCAAGATAAGTGTACCAAATATTGTTATTACTCAGTTTTTAGAGTTTTATTTAGAAATGCAAATAAAACAATACTCTTCTATTAAGTATACCACAGAAAAGTAAAACTACATAGTACCATGAGATAATACACCCTAGTTATTCATAATTTTCATAAGTGTATACAAAATAACTTTTAAAATACATGAAAGATTTAGTCAATATTCTAAATCATACAAAGCAGCATGGTTTAAATGTTGAACCGAGTTCTACTGACAATCCACTCTTTTTCTCCATTTATCTCTACTAACCAGTGAAACAGAATCATTCAAGCTTCTAGAAATTTTAATAACAAAAGATAAAATTCATACTAGTTCTACTTTTCATATAAAAAAAAGTAAAAAAAAAAAAAGGCAGGTGGAAATTTTGTGTGTGCTATAGCATTCCTTGTAGAATTAGTTACCCAGAGGAAAATACCCTAAGAAGTACAGCTGAAGAGTGTAGCTATACCAGTGAAATTTAAAAACAAGGTTCTGAGGTAAAAGAGGGAGGGACAAAGGAAGCAAGAAGAGAGGAGAGGAAGGTGAGGAAAAGGAGAAAAGGGAGTAAGAAAAGAGAAAATATGGAGACGGGACAGCAGGAAAAATCAGAAAATTAGCTGAGAAAGATAAAATATTGAAATAAAAAATTATCAAGATGGGAACATCTCTAACAGCAGAAAGAATATAATTTAAAAGGTCCAAAATGAAGATCAGCTAAAGGAAGACAGTTTAAGATTTTTGTGGCTCTCTCAACATTAGGCCACTATAACTAAATGAAACAGTCCTGAACTGTGGGACAAATAAAGCAGAAAAATAGCTTTTGGGTTATAGGTAGAGAGATTGTTTTTTTATAACCCCCCCAAAAGTTTATTGATAACTAACAAATTCTTTCAGACCCACCAAGAACAAGTAATAAATATCTTTCTATCAGATACAGCTGCAACACTTTCATAAAAACAAATTTAGTTTTCAAATAGCAGGATATTTAATCCTAAGGCAAATACAAAAACTAGTGTTAGAATTCTAAAACAGATGACTTATTAAAAATGAGCTCATAGACTGAACTGAAGGACTGGCTGGAGATTAATTAAAGTGTTAGGTAACTGGTGAAAAACTGCCTGTTATTTTCTTAAATAATTTACTTCCCCAGGATGCCTTGGCTTTAAAATGTAAGCATATCCAATGCCTAAGTCTTAACTAAATCAATGTAGTGTTAAATCCTATTTTGTTCTCAGTCAATAAGTTATTTAAAAATAAAAGAATAACTCAGAAATCAAAATGGATAGTCATATGTTTTGGTACAACTGAATTTGTAATTAGTTGGAAAAAAAAGTGTTACACTTACTCATACCACTGTTTTTTGTGTTTTCGGTAAAGCAACGTATCCAAGGCAACAGCATTGACATCCAGAGCTCCTGGGGAAGGCCACTGGTTGGTGAGGTGGGCAGTTAACTCTTGTCTTGATCTTAAATCATTATTCTTTAGCACAGTCCTGTGAATATTAAGATGGTGAGTGCTTTTGTCTTCACTGTTCTGTAATGGCAGAGGGACCTAATGGTAATCAATTTAGTTACCCCAAAGTCATCTGTTTAAAAGTGGTATGTTAACAGATTGTGAACAGAACTACAATAAGATTAGTTGGTGCTATAACTGTTTTGTCTCCTACAATATGTGTTCTTCATTCTTTCTCTGATGGATACAATAATCACTATTTATAAAATCAAGAATTTCTCTGTTCCACAGAGCTGCTACAACAGGTGTAAAGGATTCAAGCTGCATTTTACACTGTTAACTAGAAAACAATGGTACAGGTTATTGGATACTAAAATATGAAGGTAGTGATTTTATAGCTTCAAAATTACAATTAAATTTAACTCAGTATTAAAAACATAATCCAAGACAAATGAAAAAAAAACTGAATTCCGAAAAAAAATACATGAGGTTTCCATGGTTGTTTTTGATGGGCATGACTACTAATAAATCTTCATAAAACAATTAAATCATTGATAACTGCATCAAACAATATGGTCGATTGGAAATGTTTCAACTACAAAATGAAATCAGTAGGACAACTCTTTAGGTTAAGTGTCATTTTGGTAGAACTGTTACTTGTTACTAGGCTTTTGCCAAATTTCAACTTCATTAACCAAATGATCATTGTCATAAGACTAATTCAATATTTGAATGTAGATATTTAGAGAAAATTTAAAAGCATAATTCAGTTTGCAGATGTCTTTTTCTACCTCTAAAGGCTCTAAAATACCACCTCCACATCCTGCATCCTCAGAGTGCATAACTTTAGCATACCAAGCTTCTGAGTCATCAGCTAAGAAGCAAGGAAAAATGGCTTGCCATTAACTTTCAGAGAACTAATTCTGTTGTTGCAGAATAGTAGTGTCACTGGCTAGAAAATTAGATGCATACCACCTCTGGCCTTGATTCCCATGGGATAATACCATTTATGTCTCTAAGAAGCTCATCTTACTATTTCTGACTTTACAGAATACCTGTGTATATTTTAAAAGAATTGCTCCAGTGTGTCCACAGAGAACACTAAATTTCCTCTCATGATTAATACTGAAAGTGAAAATTGGAGAAGTGAGAATGTAGCCCATCCATCGAGGTAAACTAGTTACAACAATTTCATTTCACTGGAAAAGGAATTTAAGAAAATTTAACAAACTTTTAAGATAGTACTTTTTAAACGAAAACAGTAAAGAGCATACATGTTAAGATTGGCCAAAAACATCATGGAAAGCAGAAACAGGGATTACTTGCCAGAGAATCTATCATAATAAACTGCCATTATTTTGGGTTTTCTTGAAAGATTTTTCTTTCACATGGTCCCTCTCTCTAGGGTCTCTAGTGAATGTCACTGGAAAACTCAACCTCAATGCCATAATTGTTTTAAAGGCAATATCTAGAGCGGAATGAAAAAAGGTAAATGTGAGCCTATAAGGTAGAACTCAGATAATGACAAATAACTTAACATGCCCCAATTCAGAGGATAATCATTTTGAAAAGTATAAAGATTTATATTCCCATAACATTGAAAAGAAACTGAAGTGATGAAAACATATTTTTTTTTTTGCATACTATTTGTGTCTGTGAAGACTTTTCATCTACTGCCAAATTAAGTATAGTCTCTTGACATTGGTACTAAAAAATTCTAGTAAAAATTGTTTACTGTGGGAAGTTTCTTGGTCCTCTGAAACAGAAGATAGGAGATTTCAGTGTGTAGAGAGGCATAGGTTTTACCCATGCTGCTGCATTTAAATGGAGCAGTATGGATGCTATTTTTGAGAAGAATGTGGAGGTGGTAAATCCAGGCACTTGCCTTACCACTATGAAAAGGAAAGGAACCTCATGCAAGGCCCTTCTTTCACTACTCTAGTATACTACTGAGACAAATGAAGCTCATAAGCTGGGCTGAAAACCTCCCTCCTAAATTCTGAATGTCAACTAGTGTCTATTTAGAATTATAAATAAAGCAACTTATTCATTCTTGCAGTGGGGTCTTACTCAAAATGTACCAGCAAAAATATTACTGAAGTTGCTATTTCCTTGTCTTCTGGAGTAATCAAAACTACCTGTTTCCTAGTCTATTTTTCATTTTAAAAAAAAAATCAAGTCCATGAGTTGATAAGGATCTACTAAATTCTGTGTTTAAGAGTTGGCTGTGATTGTTTACAAAGAATCCAACTGCTTACCTTAAAATGAGCAACCTATACTTAATTTACTTCAAGACCTACTTAAAGGTAACTCTACTGATGTTAGCATAAAGAAAAATTTTCTCAATTGATCAGCCTTAAAAATAGCTTATAATTACTAAACAATTGCTATTATTTCATAGGATAAATCAGTGGCAATTAAGGGTAAAAATATGTGATATTTAGCATTTAATTTTAACAAAAATTGTAGACTGTAACTAATTCTAAAGTTATTGAGTGAACTGAAAAATTGAGATTAGTTACACTTGTATTTTTATCTGTGATACAAGTAAATTTAACTTTCTTTCATTAAGGTAACAATTCTACATAAAGGTACACAAAAGAAAATTCTTTAATTTACTAAGAAAGTAGCAATCATGTATCACAGCTGACTTTAAGAATTTACTGTGTAGTAGCTACTAAATTGCTTAGTTAGCTAATTTCTCTTTTGATTCTTAATGGGAATTACTCGAGACTTTGAACACAAAATAAAAATTTAAACTTCATTGAACTTTAGGTATAGTTGACAACTAAAATTATGTGTATATACTGTACAACTTGATGATTTGATATATAAAATTGCAAATAATCATATACAAGCTAATCACATTTGTACCACCCCAGAAAGTTACTGTTTTTTCCCTATGCTAAGAACACTTAAGAGTTTCAAAAACCTTCTTGGAAAAAATCACACATCTCTGTTACCTATATTACATTGTTGTACATTATTTCTCCAGAACTATGCATTTTCCATAACTAAAAAAATTATACCTCTTTTTCAAAATCTCACTATTTCTCCCTTTAGCCAGGCTCTGGTTACCACCATTTTACTCTCTGCTTCTAGTTTAACTAGTTCAAAGTTTCCACAGAGAGATTAAACAGTATTTATCTTTCTGCACCTGGTTTCACTTCAGTGAGTGTAAAGTCCTCCAGGTTCATCCAGATTGTAGCAAATGGTAGTATTTCCTTCTTTTTATAGCTGAATAGTAGCTGCTCTGTGCACCTATGTGTCTGTGTGTATCTCATTTCTTTATCCATTTATATGTCAGCAGACATGGAGGTTGCTACTGTGAATAATGCTGCAGCAAACAAGGTTACAGGTATCTCTTCAAGATCAGTTGGATAATTACTTAGCAGTGTGACTGCTATTGCTGATTTGCATATCATCTTTGAAGAAATGTCTATTTCAGTCCTTCAGCATCTTTTAAATTGGGTTATTTATGTTGTGCTACTTTATTATATGAGTTCCTTATATATTTTGGACATTAATACCTTGTCAGTTGTTGTTAATTTTTTTTCTATAGTTTACTTTTCATGCTGCTGATTACTTTCCTTTGCTGAGCAGAACTTATTAGTGTCATGAAATCCCAGTCTTATATTTTTCTTTTTTGTTGCCTACACTTTTATTGTTATATCCAAAAATTAATTGCCCAGGACAATGGCAAGAAGCCAGTTCCCTATTTTCTTCTGGTTCAGAAGATTGTCAAAAGATTATTTGACTATAGATACTCAGGTTTACTTCTGGTCTGTCTATTCTATTAGAATAGATTATACCTATGTCAACCAATGCTAATATTATACTGTTTTATTGTTGATTCATAATATTATTTTTAAATTAGGAAGTGTGACACCTGCAGCTTTGCTTTTCTTTCTCAAGATTGCTTTGGTGGCAACAAACCTCTCCAGTTTGTTGAATTCTTTCTCTTCAGCTCCTCTGGCCTACACCATAATTAAAAAAAGAAAGAAAGAAAAGAAAAGCATTGCATTGGCTATTTGATTTTTTTTGTACTTCCATATGAACTTTAGAATCTTTTTTCCTATTTCTGTAAAAATTACCATTGGCATTTTGGTGGGGATTATGTTGAATTTATATCTCACTTTGAGTAGTTGTCCAATTTTAACAATATTTAACATTCCAATCCATGAAAATAGGATGTTTTCCATTTATCTATATCTTCACTTTTCTTCATAAATATTTAAGAAAATTTCAGTGTATAAATCTTTCACTGCTTTGGGTTAGTTCAATATAGCTTATTCTCGTTGCTATTGTAAGTAGGGTTATTTTAAAATTTCCTTTTCAGATACCTTGTTTGTACTCGGAAACATGATCAGTTATTTTTGTATCTTCATTTTGTGTCTTGCAACTATATTAAATTTATTATTTCTAGCATTTTTTTTTGCTGTTGTTATTGTCTTCATTAGCTTTATGTATTCAGGTGTTCTGATATTAGTACTACATATATTTATTATGTTTTCCTGTTGAAGTGCCCCCTTTTTTAATAACATCAATACCAGACAATACTTACTGAGGGAGGGCAGCCTGGGAAAATTATAGGCCTACCTCACACTTTATTGCGCTTTCCTTCTTTATATCTCACAGATATTGCAATTTTTACAAATTGGAGTTTTGTGGCAACCCTTCATAGAGCAACTCTTTTGGCACTAATTTTGTAACAGCATGGGCTCACTTCATCTCTCCTATCACATGGGTAAATTCCTTCAATATTTCAAACATTTGATTATACTTTTTATGTTGACTTATGATCAGTGATCTCTGGTATTACTATCTTTATAATTGCCCATGGGCACCATAAATTTCACCCATATTAGCCCTTATACTCTTTCAAATGTGTATATTCTCACTACTTCACAGAGTGGCCATCTGTCTTTGTCTTCTTTGGTCTCCTTATTCCCTAAGACAACAATATTGAAATTAGGACACTTAATAGCCCTACAATGTTTTTTAACTGTTCAAGTGAAAGGAAGTGTTATATATATCTCA